CACCAATATAGTGCTCGAATAAACGATTGATTTAACAAAAAAAGTGTCCAAGCCATGTACCAGCTCACAAATCCACATTGCAATGGACTCCTCTCAGTTGGGAAATATAAAAATCCACAATACGACTGTATCTCAAATCCTACTGTACACATTAACTTGGTTTAAAAACTAAAGTCATATTGTTCCACTTGCGTTCACTGAGCCTCCTCTGCAGTTTGGATCTCCGAGTCACACTTTAAAAACCTCGGTGTCATGAATTAACCAAAACTGTTGTAACTTTAGCAAATGATTCATGCATTCATAGCAAGCTGACTGCTAAATATAGAAAGAAATTGTAAAATACAACAGTAGGAATATGCTAAATGCACAAGAAGGCATAACATTTATCTCCTGTGCTGACTAGTTTATCTAACAACCAAAATAACACATAACTTGAGTATAAATGGAGACTTATCCCCCCCCCCCCAGACTGTATTTGAATCACCTGACTCGCAGCAGCTTCGTGGAAAAAAAGCACTAAGTCCACAAAGAATGCTAATGACTTTTAAGCCAAATCAAGCCTTCATAAAACAAGACAGGTTTTTTCTACACACACACACACACACACACACACACACACACACACACACACACACACACACACACACACACACACACACACACACACACACACACACACACACACACACACACACACACACACACACACACACACACACACACACACACACACACACACACACACACACACACACACACACACACAGAATGTGAAGCAATGCCTGTGCACAACGTGAAGGAGGCTCGGCCCATATGATGCTGAGAGAGGGAATTCTGGGAGATTTCCTTTAATCCCATAGAGCTCCAGGGTTAACAGTGAACATCAACACCAGCATCCTGCGGGCTAAATATTGAATGAAGAAATCAAAATAAAAATCCGATTTAATTAGCGTGAAAGCTGAGCAGAGGTGGGAGAAGTACTCAGATCGTGCACTTCAGTAAAAGTAGAAGTACCAGAGAGTAGGAATACTCTGTTGCAGGTAAAAGTCCGGCATTCAGAAGTAAAAATACAAAAGTATTATATACTTAAAGTACCAAAAAAGTACTCATTATGCAGATTAGTCCATTTCAGAATATATATGTTTTGATTATAATTATTGATGCTTTAACGGTCACCTATTATGCAAAATCCCCTTGTTCATGTCTTTTCTACATCAACATGTGTCCCCTCTGTGTAAAGAGACTCTGAAAGTTTCAGGAAAAAAGATTCTCTCACTTTTTGTCCTGATCCATTTCTATAAAAACCTGTCTGAAAATGAGCTGATCAGATTTTGGCCACTTTGTGATGTCATAACGATGTTTTGGCTTGTGTAACTATTAGCCAATCACCAACCAAGGTACCCCCCCCCCCCCCCACCTTATCACCTGAATCTCCTTCTAGAGCACCATTGTGTTCTTTGTAACCAAATATCTCTCAGAGGGGCGTGGGGAGGGGCTCCTTATTTTCATCTAAAGCAGGGGTCACCAACCTTTTTTTAGGGTGAGGGCTACTTTTAAAAAATAAAACAAGTCGGGGGCTACTTTTACTCCTCTTTTTCTTTTTTTTTTGCAGTGTATATATTTAGCACATTTTAACATTATGATATGCTGACCTTTAACCTTTGTGTGCTGTTTGGGTCTGTGGGACCCGTTTTCAGTGTTTACTAAAAGAACATACATGCAATTTAATTATTTTAACCTGCTTTATTTGGGGGTGGATGGGCCTCACCTCCTCTAGGGGAGTCCTCACCTCCTCTAGGGGGGTCCTCACCTCCTCTAGGGGGGTCGGGGGGCATGCACCCCCGTGAAGATTATTTTTAAATGTTGAAGTGAAATGCATCAATCTGGAGCACTTTGAGCACAACATGAATTGATGGATACAGCTCTCAACACTCAGATGAAAGGGAGCTGTATACTTTTCAATAATCCAAACATCTTTAGAATATGATCACAACCAATAACAAATCATTTAAACTGGTTTATTCTTATTTTATGTTACCTAGTTAGCATTTTTTCTTTTTATTTATGCTTATTTTACTCCCCTTTCAAACTGTTTTTTGTTTTTTTTACTGTCCTATAGCACACATTGGAATGATTTCTTACTTTATCTATATTAAATAGATAAAGGTATGCTCTCCCTAGCTCTCTCTCTCTCTCCCTCCCCCCAGCTCTCTCGCTTCCTAGCTCTCGCTCTCTCTCTCCCTCTGTCTCGCTCGCTCACAGAGGCTGTGAGCTCCTCCGTGGCGATCGACGGCTTGCGTTAAAAAAATAAAATAAACATATTTGTAAAGTGGGGGGACACAAACAGGATTTCGAAAAGAGCAGGGGACATTTCCCCCCTGTCCCAGGTGGAAATTACGCCATGCGTGTGTGCGTCAAGTGCAATAAATATATATGCAAGTTGCAACACGCAGAGTAAAACTCTGCCCCCCATGTGTTGTATATGGCTGGCATGATAGGCTGTTCAATGGGGCTGATGTGTTGTGTAGATTCTGCCAGAAGGAAAATCACATTGAATTTCTTCCAGACTGCAACGCTGGTCCCGCAAATCAAGCAAGAACGTGATTGGTCGATATTCATTGTGGGGGTGGGGGGAGGAGGGGTGTTAGATAGATATAGAGTTGTAGTAAGTAGATAGAGTTCGCTATGATTTAGGTTTCGTTTATGCATAGGGTAGATTCTTTTAATTACATTTCCTTTTTTGTTTTGTGTATTTTATACATTTTGGATTTGCTTGGCGAGCTATTTTTAGAACATGCCCCGTGGGTGACTCACGTTGCCCCTGCGGGCGACCAAGTGCCCGCGGGCACCGTGTTGGCTACCCCTGATCTAAAGTAACAGACAGAGAATCAGCACTTTTGAAACAGGGCTGAAACAGAGGGGATTATGGGATACTGCAATGATCCGTTTGGTATTTGGAGCCAAACACTTCAGAGACATGTTTTGTATCTATCTGAGACCTATAATATATTGATGAAAAACAGTATAATAGGGGACCTGTAAAGTGTTATCAAAGCTGGTAAAGGTGCAGCTAGTTTGAATGACTTTGTATACTGCAGGGTAGCTTGTGAATTTACTCCAGGTGGAACTAAAGTCTGATTTAAGAGATGATTATATTTCACATCATTCATCCAAATCTGTAAAGTAATTAAAGGTATTAAATAAATATAGTGGAGTAAAAGTACACCATTTACCTCTGAATTGTAGTGGAGTAGAAGTACAAAGTAGCATTAAATGTAAATACTCAAGTACAGTACCTCAACATTGTACTTAAAAGTACAGTACTTCAGTAAATGGCAATAAACTCGATACTACTGATTTAAAAGAGAGAATAGACCCAGATGAACCTCTGACCTAAAACCCAAAGGCTTCACGAGGACAGCAGCATGTTAACTCTTTACAAACTCATTACATTTAAAAATAAGTCCCTGATCCAGACTACACAACCTCTTAAAAAGATTTATGAAACACTTGTATTAATTTGTGTTGCACCGGTTTTTCTGTAAAGCCTCAAAAAAATTACATAAAAAAATAAACACACACCAAATGTCCTCAGAGAATTGGTTGTTTCTCAATACTTGGTCCCCACAAGTACAGCAAAACAAACTAACAAACACAGAAATGTCTTTAAAGGCTGTTTTTTCCACCTCTAAAAGCTAGAAATGTGCCGTTTTTTTTTTATTCTGATTATATTAAATTAAATATATTTGGACATTTATCACACATACTTTTCAGAATTTTACTTTACAGACGTGTACTTTTCATAGTTTTTTGGACACATTCTGACATTTATTTTGGACTGTTGCAGTAAGTCAATAAATTATAAGGTGCTTGATTGACAAAAATAACCTCTTATAATCTTGATGATCGTTGAAGTAATTTGCTCTGCATAAATATCTTTAAATGCAGTTTTCAGCCTCTCTAATCTGATTTTCACTTTTCTCTGATTCATATCATTTTTAGATCAATATCTTTGGACATTTAAATGCATCACCTTGGACCTTGTGGGACTGGGATGGACATTTTTGACAATTCTCTGACATTTCTCTAGACATCTTACCATGAGTTGACCATTAGAAAGTTGCTCTACAGTAAAATAATCTCCAAATATGTTTCCTAATCATCATTTTTAGTACATTTTCATGCACAAATTGTAATAAATGACGTTTTCAGCTTCTAATATGGAGATGTTTTGCTTTTCTTTGATTAATAAGTAAATGTCTTCAGATTTTGGACCTTCACCAACTTTGAGAAACTTGATAATTACTGATATTTTAGAGAAAAAACAACAATTTATCTACAGATTATTTTATAGATTAATTGATTAATTTTTTCTCTAAACTGTCAAAATATGATGTAAAATAGCTCCATTCAAACAAACAACATCACACTTGAGTCATTTTCTCATTTAAATGTATTAACAGAATTGTATTAACATTTAATATGCAGGAATGAGACCTTCTGTGAATACATGGCACAATCATATTATATACATTCTTTAAGGAGACAGTGCACAGACTTGGTGGAGGGGGAGGGGGGTGGTAAATATCTTAAAATGACCCTTCAGTGAGTGACCAACATTTCTCTTTTTAAGTTAATTAGCTTTTTTTGTAAAGAAAAATGGCTGTTACCAAGAAAAACAAAAAGTAATACCACTGTTGTGTCGTACATCCATTCCTTTATACACACTTAGGGTTTAATCACACAAACCAGAGGGGGGAGGGGGTCTACCACAGTGCTATTTTTTAAGTGTAAATATACATAATTCCCATGTAACACGACATGTGCAGCCGATCATTTTAAAGAAACTAAATTAGAGCCTCTCGTTAGCTTATAATAAAGCTCATTGCACGTTTTCCCCCACAGACGTTCGTGTCTTCGTAGAAAGCCGCATGAGTGTGTGTGTGTTGATTAAAAGTGTGTGTGTGTGTGTGTGTGTGTGTGTGTGGGTGTGTGAGTGTTCAGTGTCCCGTCAGGTAGTCCTGTGTGGAGTCCGAGGCGAAGGAGTCGGCGTCCTCGTTGTCCGAGTCCTCGCTGCTGTCGTCGGCCGCCGGCTCTCCGGACAGCGCGATGCGGGCGTAGTCGTCGGTGTCGATGGATTTGCAGAAGTGGATGGCGTACTTCAGCTTCTCCTCCAGCACCTGTTTGCACGAGTACCGGGGCAGCTTCAGCAGGAAGAAGCAGGTGTAGGACTCGGGCAGGAAGTGGTCGGGGGGGGTTGTATTTATCCAGCACCTGGGGGCAGAAAACAGGACTCGCTTAGTTCTGCAGGGAATATAAAGCTGGTTCTACTTCTGTAAAAAGCAGCTACCCACTGAGGGACTCCTGTGTGGACTTTGCATCGAATATAAATCCATCTTAAAGGTAGGGTAGGTAAGAATGGAGAAACCAGCTCGAGTGCGCTAGAATTTGAAAGTACACAGCCGAAGAAAATCTGCCCCTTCCTTCAGACTTCCTTATAGAGCCCCTCCTCCAACACACACGAACGCGCACATGACCAATGAGGGCACGAGATAAGTTTGTGCACAGATGGAAGGCTGACAGGCAGGTAGGCCATCCAGTTATTTTAGCCGGACCGGCTCAGATGATTGGTCGTGCTTTTTACAGTACCACGGCTTCCACAGATGACATTTTTTAATGTATTTATTGTCAAAGCATTTCATGTATTCATTGCTATCGGGATGTTAAGAGCGTTCCATGAAATATAACAAGTGTTCCTGAAGTGAATTCCCTACCCTACCTTTAAGTGTCTAATATAACAAAATAACTGAGAATTGAAATGCAGAATAACAAAAACAGACTAAAGTAGCAGGGGATCTTAACAATACATTTAGCAGAGCCCAGCTTTTCTTTTCAAAATGCTTCGCCTCTTTTCAAAAGTCAACGTTATTGTCAATCTTTCAGTTTGTGTGTACAGACAGAGATCGAAATACCATTTCCCACAATGCAGAGTACAAAAACAAATATATATAAAAATATGTATGCAAATATGTATATACTTATATATACACAATCAAAGACACATTTTTACATGTGCACACATTAAGACCTAAATAAAAGCACAGCAATCAATATATACAAAATAACAGTCACTTCAATATCTTATGGGGCTGCTCCGACTTGAAAATATTGGAACTTCTCAGTAAAATCACAGTGACGTCATTGTAGTAATTGTGGCTATAATAGCTTTTTCTTGTCCAGAAGTTCGATGGAAACGATCAAAACAAAGACCTAAAGCCCGTTGTCGCAGATTGTTCAGGCTCCACTGATCGGGCAGGCACTAATTGTTGCTGCCGGTGAGTGTGAGACTTTTATCGTCCTAATCCCTCTCTCTACGGCTGTCACACTGAGCGCTGAAGCTAAAACAGACGGTAAGTGTGAGAGCTAGCTTCTTCCCGTTAGTGCTCAAAGTGTCACACAGATAGTGGCACAAACAGATCATAAAATGCAACATAGTGAATCTAACCCAGGGTTAAATATATATGTACAAATATATAACCCACTTTTCAAATAAATTCAATCAATTGAAGTTGGAAACATTTTCAAACTAATCTTAGTTGATATAAAAAGCCCAATCACTTATTTGCATAACAGATCTTTTTATAAGCAATCTGAAGCTTCTGTTTTAAGGCATGAGCTGCAAACTAAATAAAGTAAACCCTCTGGAGAGCTGTGATGTAGGCTGGTGTGTTTCTTACAGCATGTTCAAGTATCAAGCTTAATTGACCTACATTTGACTGATTTTGCTAACTTATAACTTAGCATATGAGGCAATATACCTCTCCTCTAGTGAGTGGCCCAGACCTTCATGTATTTTTCTGTATGTGGCCCTCGGTGAAAAAGGTTTGGACACCCCTGATCTAATCCTTCACACTTCCTAGACGTCTCTTCTTACCTGCACCACGAAGTCCCGCCCCCTGAAGTCGGCGATGGTGCGCGGCAGACGGGTTCGCCCCCAGACGAAGCGCAGGAAGAGCGAGCGCTCGGTGTTGGAGAACGACTCCATCACATCCCAGAACCACTGGATGAGGGAGGAGGTGGGCTCCACCCCCTTATAGGTGGCCACCGACTTCAGCAGGTGCAGGGGGATGTCGGGGCTCCCACACACCTGGGGGGGGGGGGATAATTCATTAATAATGCTTTGTACAATATATACTTTTTTTAAACAAAAGAAGGGCGTATCGGGGTAAAATACACTTTCCGTTTCTCCCAAATGTCCTCAAATTTGTTCCTGGAGCCTCATAGAGAAGGTCATTCTTTCCATTACAAAGATTTCATAAATGATATCGTACCAATCATCTATAGATGGGCTGTTTGGTTTGAGACATCTCTTTGTGATTGCTTTCCTCGCAGCTACACTCAACATCCAGAATAAGTATTTTGTTTTTATATTTGTTGATGTTATATTAGAGTTCGTCCCAATTCAAATTAATTTTTGCTCCAAATATGATACAATATATACTTTTAATAACAACATTACTGTCTGCTACTTTAAATAGTAAAAAAAAGAAAAGTATTTTTATTTTATTTAGATTTTATAATTTTTCTATATCTGGTCTTTTTTTAATCTTAATATCTCTTACTATGCAATAAATAAACACATCTCAAACGGCACTGTCACATTTATTGTTGTGTTACTTACCCGTCTTTTAACTTGCTTTAATTTGAATATATTCTGATTAAAACACTGACCATGGTTTCCAGCTCGTATCCGGTGAAAAGCGACAGTAGGGGAACGGGAACGACTCGAGCCATTCCTTCACGAACTGCAGACACCTGCTCATCGAACTCATGGAGCCTGAAGCATCATGGGAAAAGAGGAGACGGAAATTAAAGGTCTCCTATTATACTGTTTTTCATCAATATATTATAGGTCTCAGATATATACAAAACATGTCTCTGAAGTGTTTGGCTCCAAACACCAAACAAATCATTGCAGCATCCCATAATCCCCTCTGTTTCAGCCCTGTTTCCAAAGTGCTGATTCTCTGTCTGTGACTTTACGCCCCTCTGAGAGATATTTGGTTACAAAGAACACAATGGTGCTCTAGGAGGAGATTCAGGTGATAAGGTGGGAGGGGGGTTAACTTGGTTGGTGATTGGCTAATGGTTACACAAGCCAAAAAAACATGACGACATCATAAAGTGGCCAAAATCTGATCAGATCATTTTCAGACAGGTTTTTATAAATGGATCAGGACAAAAAGAGAGAGAATCTTTGTTCCTGAAACTTTCAGAGTCTCTTTACACAGAGGGGACACATGTTGATGTAGAAGAGACAGGAAAAAGTGGATTTTGCATAATAGGTGACCTTTACTCATTCAGTGTTTTTCCTCACCGGTAGTTGATGGCCAGACGGACGTACTCGGCTCGGTTCTCCAGCGTGATGTGGGAGAACTTGGAGCTGAGCTGGATGTCCTGCCCGCTGGCGTTGGGGACGGTGAACGGGAGCGACATCGCCTCGAACTCCTCCGTCGTCGCCTCGTTGTCCCGGATGTACATCAGGCCGGGAATAAAATCCTTATCAACCTGGGAGGTAGAAAGAGCACAAACATAAAGCATTAACGCTTACTTATTCAGGCTTAGTTGAATATTCAGAATCAGAATCAGAATACCTTGATTAGTCCCACAGAGGGGAAATGTACATTGTTACAACAGAAAAAAGCCAAATACAGCTTAATGTTACCTAAGAAGCATGCATAAAAAAATATTAAAGATAAAAAAGTTACACAATTTACAAAAAACTCATCCTGTAACAGTTCGATTCTGATTGGTCAATTCGGACCTTTCAGAGGTCAATATGACAGTAGTACGGACCGCTGTTAAGCACTTTAATGACCGATAAAATAAATATAAATGTGCAATAAGAAGAATAGTAATATAATCATAAGAAGTCAAAGTTAAAATGTTCAATAAATATATAAATAAAATAGAAATATGTATTTAAAACATATGAAGTTAAAGGTGGGGTAGGTAAGTTTGAGAAACCGGCTCGAGATCGCTAGAATTTGAAAATACACAAGCAGAGAAAATCTGCCACTTCCTTACAGAGCCCCTCCTCCAACACACACGAACGCGCACATGACCAATGAGGGCACGAGATAAGTTTGTGCACAGATGGAAGGCTGACAGGCAGGTAGGCCATCCAGTTATTTTAGCCGGGCCGGCTAAAATGATTGGTCGTGCTTTTTACAGTACTACGGCTTCCACAGATGACATTTTTTAATGGATTTTTTGTCAAAGCACTTAAGATATTCATTGCTATCGGGATGTTAAGAGCATTCCATGGAATATAACAAAAAGTGTATCTTAAAATAGGTAGGTAAAAATAAAATGAAATCAAAACACTTATATAAACATTAAAGGTTAAAATTCGCAATAGGAAATTGTAAATGAAAATGTATATAAACATAAGAACTTGAGTAAATATCTGCAATAATAATAAAAATAAATACAAGGGCGACTGTGTCTGCGAGGGAGTGCGGTCGTCTTTCAACCAGAAGGTTGTTGGTTCGATCCCAGCCCGTGTAGTCAACATGTCGATGTATCCTTGGCCCTGTGTGTGTGTGAGTGTGTGAGTGTGTGTGTGTGTGTGTGTGTGTGTGTGTGTGTGTGTGTGTGTGTGTGTGTGTGTGTGAAAGTTAGCTTCCCTAGACTAAAGCAAGTGGTGCTGCTCTGTATGCATAGCACTTTGAGAGGTCGAATAGACCTGATAAAGTGCTATATAAATAAATAATAAAAGTACATTCCATTTACAAAGATTAAATCAAATGGAATGAAAAATATTTAAATAGCATTGAGAAGTTGTGCACATTGTACTAATATATTAAAACAATAATTAAAAAAACATTTATGACCAAATATACAGTGGTGTATTAGTATTAATTAAGATATTAATGATGAAACCCAGATGATTGCAGTATATCTACAGAGTTATAATAACCATTAACTTCACCTGCAGTAGCATTCATCTTTTGTTATGTGTGTTCTTATTACGTGGGTGCACTCGTGCCCTCATGCTCGCATCACATTCCCCGTGAGCGGCACAACGGTCCATCCTACTGTATTCCTTTCACATCAACCTTTATGATATCTCCAGGGCAACAAACTCCAAACAAGAGCAGCTTTGACCAGAGTTTCTCCTCCCGCTGCGTAGTATGACGGTTCAGGAGCTCATGATCGCAGCGTGAGGGAAGGACTCCATTCCCTTTTAAACAAAAGCTCACACTGTGGCTCTTAAACTGAAATATAGAATTCTGGGAAGCAGGTACAGTGAGTGCAGCCTTGAGGAGTAACGAGGATTCATAACAAACTAACTGTATTCCTGACAGTTACATAAGAGAGTCAGACTACTGTTGCATTTCTTAAATAGTGTGGATAACTAGCAGGATGACAGTGTTAGTAAAACCTTAAAAGATCGTATAGTGTTAGATGAAAAAGAATCAGATGTTGTCTCTTCTCTGTGAGCTGTTATGTTCTGTAGGGTAATACTTTAAAGGGGACCTATCATGCTAAATGCACTTTAGTACGTCTTTTCTACATGAATATGTGTCCCCGGTGTTCCAGGGAACTCACCAAGTGTCAGAAAACACAACCCTCTCTATTTTCCTCCATACCCAAATCTCTAAAAAAGGGGCTGCAACGGATCTGATAAAAAACTGATCCAGATTTGAACACTGTCCTGACGTCAGGACGGTGGAGCTACGGCTATTGGGCCAACTCCACCAATCAGTAGGAGACAGCCACGGCCATTGCCGTTCGAAAGCGCTGGAGACGCTGTAGTACATATGCCAGGCCTGTAGGTGGTGCTGTTCTCACTGAATCTGCCCAGAGCTAGAAATGGTCAAATTGCATGGCATGGCTAAAATGCATGATCTGTTTGGTATTTTGAAAAAAAAAAAGTATAAATATGCCTTATGGTATATTTATGTATGGTCCTACACTATATTATTCAAATATAGCATGATAGGTCCACTTTAAGTGTGAATCTATACGTCTACTGCCTGAATCTGCTTTATGGTTTCCACTTTCTTTGGTTCATTTGATCTGTTTATAATTCAGTAGGTGAACCCATATGTTCATTAAATAGTGAGTGTGAGCTTAACGCTGTGTATTAAACTAAAACGGAGCATTTTCTGTCAGCTCAGATGTTATTTCTGCTTTTTTAAACTGTAGTACTGTTTGTGCTCATGTGGTGTACGTCTCCTAATGTCAGACATATAACTTTCTATGATCTCATGATCTGCTTTATAACCTGGAACAAGAACACATTCCTTTACATTCCTGCTCAGATTAAACTCTAATCCTCTACAGTGAGAGACTTTCTGTATCACACACACAGGGTGGAGAGGGGGTGTGGGGTACACTTCAAAAATGTAATCCGTTACAATTATAACCTGTAAATACGAATGTAATCAGTAACCTGATCTGAGTACCAAGGCAAGACAAGATTATTTATATAGCAACTTTCAACACAAGGCAAGTGCTTTTTACCACAATACAAAGTAACCTGATTACTTTACTTTTAGATTACCTCAAGATCAAATGCAATGCAGATTAACCCAAGGCAGTAGCCTAAACACCAACAGTGAAACGCATGAGCACATGGTACAGTTTGAAAAAGCAGAAGTAAAATCTGAGCTGACGGAAAATGCTCCGTTTTGAGTTTAATACACACAGTTAAGATCACACACACTATTTTATGAACATATAGGTTCACCTGCTGAATTAAAATCAGAACAAATGAAGCAAAGAAAGTGGAAATGTAATCCGTTACTCACCAAACCTGCATTTAACCGAAAAACTAATGTCCTTTTCCGTATTCCTTTCAAATATTTTCACACTAATCTTCAGTGTGTATTACAAACACTGAGAGCCTGGGTGTGTGTACGTACCTCACTGAGGTCAGCGATGGTCAGGTTCATGCCGGCCATCTGCTTCCAGACGGGCTCGGCCAGGTTCAGACTGAGAGGACTTCCTGTCCGGATAGCGATGCCCAGCACCACTCCTGCACACACACAGAACCAGAACACTTTATTTAAGGGGGAATTGGGTGTTGTGACAGTTGCTATAAAAAAAAACTATACATAGAATTAAAGTAATTATGTAGACATGAGGAGTTAAAGTCAAATGTACCAATAAGGACAAATGTATGAAACATAAGAAAGTAGTATATATTTGCAATTTTTTTTTATCTAAACAGAGAATTTAGAAGTTGCTCTACATATTATATAAACATAGGAAGTTGCAAAACGTTCAATCAAAGATTAATTTAAACAAAATAGACTAAGAATATTTCTATAAATATTATATGTGCAATAAAAGAGAACATTTAAATAAATGTAATGGAAAAAGATATTCATATTTATATATATATATATATATGAATTGAGGATGCCCAATAAAAAATATAGAATTTAATAAAATAAATATATTATTTAATGTTTAGAAGTTAGATGTGTAAATGTGCAATATTTCTTTTTTAAATAAAGATATTTACCAGAGGTTGGAAATAACTTAGTACTGTACTTAAGTAACATTTTTTGTTACTTGTACTTTACTTGAGTATTTCCATTTTATGTTACTTTGGTATGGTACTTCTACTTTTACATAAGTACAAGATCTGAGTACTTATACTTTTACTCAAGTACAAGATCTGAGTACTTATACTTTTACATAAGTACAAGATCTGAGTACTTCTACTTTTACATAAGTACAAGATCTGAGTACTTCTACTTTTACATAAGTACAAGATCTGAGTACTTATACTTTTACTCAAGTACAAGATCTGAGTACTTATACTTTTACATAAGTACAAGATCTGAGTACTTCTACTTTTACATAAGTACAAGATCTGAGTACTTCTACTTTTACTCAAGTACAAGATCTGAGTATTTCTACTTCTACTCAAGTACAAGATCTGAGTACTTCTACTTTTACTCAAGTACAAGATCTGAGTACTTCTACTTTTACATAAGTACAAGATCTGAGTACTTCTACTTTTACTCAAGTACAAGATCTGAGTATTTCTACTTCTACTCAAGTACAAGATCTGAGTACTTCTACTCTTACTCAAGTACAAGATCTGAGTACTTCTACTTTTACATAAGTACAAGATCTGAGTACTTCTACTTTTACTCAAGTACAAGATCTGAGTACTTCTACTTTTACTCAAGTACAAGATCTGAGTACTTCTACTTTTACTCAAGTACAAGATCTGAGTACTTCTGCTTTTACTCAAGTACAATATCTGAGTACTTCTCCCACCTCTGAAATGTACATAAACATAAGAAGGTTAAGCCAAATGTGCGAAATCTAAAAAAGAAAGAAAATCTAAATAAATACAATACTTAACAAGTATAATCACAGGGGTGTTTTAGTATGAATCAATATGAACCTGAACACCAGATTACTGCTTTAAACACACATGTACCCAAACACAACAGCACTTCACTGTGCAGTAGAAATCTGTGGAGCAACTGAAGCGAGTCGCAGCTCAGTCCAGGTGTTTTATCAGTGAAAAAGCACCTGAAGCTTTTGTACGTTTTTGCATATTTTCAGTTTTTGTTTATCTGGGATTAGCCGTCCCTGACTGGATTAGCAGGATCGTACCCAGGAAGCGGAACATGCTCATGTGCAGCGCGGACTTGGCAGCCGGGTTGAGCAGGAAGCAGTCTCTGTTGGCGCCCGACTCGTCGCGGCCGTTGGGAGTGACGATGAGGAGCGGCGTCAGAGCGTTCTGCAGCTCCTCACACATCTCAGCGATCGACTCACTGTAACCCCCCCCACAGTCGTCCACAGACTCACCTGAGAGAGACAAGAGCATCAGGTCAGAAACACTTAACTCGTCCTGCAGCGGGGGGATTTAGGGCGTCACAGCACGAAAGGGTAAAGTAACGTTGTATTACATATTAAAGGGGACCTATCATGCAAAATGCACTTTTATACATGAATATGTGTCCCCGGTGTTCCAGGGAACTCACCAAGTGTCAGAAAACACAACCCTCTCTATTTTCCTCCATACCCAAATCTCTAAAAAAGGGTCTGCAACAGATCTGATAAAAACTGATCCAGATTTGAACACTGTCCTGAAGTCAGGACGGTGGCGCTACGGCTATTGGGCCAACTCCACCAATCAGGAGGAGACAGCCACGGCCATTGCCGTTCGAAAGCGCTGGAGACGCTGTAGTACATATGCCAGGCCTATAGATGGTGCTGTTCTCACTGAATCTGCCCTTACACAAACAGAGCTACAATTTTTCAAATAGAGCGAAATGAGGCATGGCTAAAATGCATGATCTGTTTGGTATTTTGAAAAAAAAAAAGTATAAATATGCCTTATATAGGTATGGTCCTATACTATATTATTCAAATATAGCATGATAGGTCCACTTTAAATAAAAAGGTAAGGCGAACTGCAGAAATATTGGTCTGACATATTAGATGAAATGTGGAAGATATTTCACAGACATTTAGATACGGACCCGCTGTCTTTGATTTTAGGTCTACCAGTCAAATCACTACCTACTGCTGCGAACAGAAGATGATATAATGTCCTAACTTTTGCTGCTAGGAAAAATATTTGATAACAGTGGACTAAGGATCAGGTCCCATCCCTCAAAGGTTGGCACAACATTATATTTGAGTCGGTTTCCCCCGGGATATCTCACAAATGTTTTACATGCCAAATCTGACCAGTTCTATACAATCTGGCAGCGTTACTTACATTTCCTTGAATCTGAATTGTCGGCTGTTATTGTTAAAGGAACCTCATGAATCTCCTGTCATCATACATTCATCATCAAAAGGTAAGTACTACTATGTTTCTTTTTGGTTTATTTTAGGTGCAATGTCTTGTTGACATGCTGCTTTGAGCAAACGACAACAACAACAAGTACATTTGATCTTTAAACACCTACCCACAAACTTGACCTTCCACACCCTGTGAGGCAGCAGCAGGCTGTCGGGACTGAAGGAACTCATCTTAGAACACATCTGACCAAACACTGACTTAGTGCCATCAGGACCAGCAAGACCGCCTTTACTGCGGGAGCGCTTCACCTGCAGGGGGGGGGGGGAGAGGGGGAGGAGAAGAAAAAAAGAGAGGTCACGGTTTACTTTGTTTCTGTTCTGTGTTTAATCACTTCCTGTTATATATAAACAAACTAGTGATGAGCATGAAGTCCTGGATATGACAGCTCTGAGACATGGAAACAACCAAAGCGAGAAGGGGGGGGGGAGGGGCAGTGTGGAGTAAACACACACACACACACACACACACACACACACACACACACACACACACACACACACACACACACACACACACACACACACACACACACACACACACACACACACACACACACACACACACACACACACACACACACACACACACACACACACACACACACACACACACACACACACACACACACACACACACACACACACACACACACACACACACACACACACACACACACACACACACACACAAATCCCCTTATGAAAGAATCACATGTAACGCCTGTCTGGAACACAGGGAGGGAGGGTGAGGGCTACAGTAAGAGTGAGCAGGAGACTTGGAGAAGGATAAAAGTGATTGTGTGTGTGTGCGTGTGTGTGCGTGAGTGAGTGTGTGAGTGTGAGTGTTATTTCTCACCTGTATCCTGTTGAGCTCCACCACAGGGCCGTGCTGCCGGTCCCTCACCATCGTGGCCTGAACCACCTTCCTGAATGCTGCTTCCTGTTCACGGAGACAAAAAGGTTTCATCAGTCCCCAAAAATACTATTATACTGAAACACTGGTACAAGTAAAAGTTGGGTTTTCAAAATTAAGTAGAGAAGCATTCGCACCAAAATTAAGTAATTGAAATGGGCCAGTACGCATGACCAGTACTTTTACTTTGGGGGGGAAGTGTGTGGGAGAGAAACTCCCACTGTAGAGAACACAGGGATTTTAGCCTTTGCAGACCATTAACATGCACAAAAACCTCTCGAACACACTACAGGAAAGGGAACACCCCAAAAAACATATAAGGGCATCTTTCAATTAAAAAGGATCTGACAATGCACATCTGTTTTTTGTGTGTGTGTAGCATAATATAACTAAAACAGCATGTTGTGGGTATAGAATAACACTGATCTCACCTTGCCCTGGGAGATGAGGATTCCCCTCAGCGTGTCGAAGCCCACCGAGGGTCCGTGTCCCGTCTGGCCCAGCCGGCCCTCCAGGTCGAACATGGGGATGCAGGGGCAGAAGAGCTCTGAGATGTGATGAAGGAGCAGCAGCCGGTTCCTCAGCGCCATGATGGGGATCTCCTGCAGGTGGTTGTACTCCATGGGAACCTTTAACACACACACACAAACACACATGATAGGCATTTTAGAGTCACTTTGTTTTAATGATGCAAAGCTTTACTGCCATCTACTGGACATGTGGACAGTGACGTAATTTCCCAATGTCAATTTAACATCAGCTGTGGCCAAAGAAAACTGTTAACAGTAATCAAAAAATGTGGCCCTAAGAAGATTAGGGCCACACAAATAAGACAATTTGAGATAAATAAAATCACATCTAATCTCCCTTATGTGATGTCTTCTGTGTTCTTATTTGTCTTTTGTCTATGCATAAGTCTGTCTGCTTTTCTGCGAGTGTTGTTCCTATGTTTATTAACCTGTAAACAACAGACAAAAAAATCACATCTAATCTAATGTGTGACTATAAAGAATGAAAGCTTGATCTCAGTACCTGTGCGGGCAGTTTCCCGGCGTTGGTGGGCTTGCTGGTGGACCAGGCGAGCGTGTGGGCGGAGCCACAGGCCACTCGGTTGATCTTCTTCCCCTGCAGCGCCGCCACCAGCCGAGGCCTCTGGATGGCGTTCGTGGTGCCGTCTCCAAGCTGGCCCTCGTCGTTATCGCCCCACGTGTACACTTCTCCTGAGCCAAACCCAAAAACAACAATCTGAGAATCTGCGGTCCAACACGGCTTAGCTGCACTGTTAGCAGACCAACTGTTACCATGGCAGAAGGTAGGGGACTACTTTAGTCGTTGTTATTGTTTGTTTGTGTTCTTTGTACATACAATCAGTACAAACCACTGTCTTATTTGTATGCATATATTTTGCTTTCCATCTCTAAATGACAAACACTGGTTATGCATTGTCAAAACGCAATAAACAGATTTTTGATCAGAATATTAATAGAGCAATAAAGATATCTGAGAATTGTATCAGTGGTATACAAAGTAAAAAAATAAAATAAAACATGGCAGCGAGAACTTGTACAGTTAAAGGATCTGAAATTCGCCGACAAATACATTAACGGCCCGTCCACACAGCAGCGTTAAAAAAATATTCTAACGCTTCTGCCCATTCACTTTGAATGGGGTGACGTCACTTTGCCTCACTTTTCGCCGAACTGCATTGTGGGAAGCAGAGCGGAGATTTTCAGGATTTTCAGGATTCAAAGTTGAGCAATGTTCAACTTTTGAAGCTGAGGTGGAAGCGTCAGCCAATCAAATCCCGTGTATGCAAATCTGACAGTTCAAGCGCTAGCCAATCAAACGGCGTGTATGCTGGGAGAGACATACCGCAGGTCATTTCCTCATATTCCAAAAAATGGAGGAGAAATTAGCGGTAGGGAATCACCCGGTGCTTTATGACCAGTCCCTATTTACCTACCGGGATATAAACCGGAGGAGCCAGGCATGGAGGGAGGTGGCAGAGACAGTGGTAGGTTTTCGTCTGTTTGGGGAGTTTATATCCAGTTTACTTCGGGCTTTTTTGCTTCGTATGTCGGGGGCAGGAGATTCATGTGATTGGTTGTTGGTCGCGTTGCTCGCAAAAAATCCCCAAGCTTCAGATACGCCCACCTCCAAGATTTTTTTAACGCTGCTGTGTGGACGGGCCGTAAGGGTGACGTCAAATATATGAAGAAAAAGGAGGATGATGCATGAGAGAGGTGGATCGTACCATCCTCCGTGCAGCAGACGCAGTGCAGCGACCCCGTGGCGATGGCGATCACTTTCTTTCCCTGAAGACCCTGAACCTGTCGGGGCCGTCGCACGTGATCATCAGAGCCGTGTCCGAGGCGGTGGTAGTCCCCCTTCCCCCTGAGAACAACATCATGCAAACATTTGTTACAGACTCATGTCATCACAAATAGGGTTGTGAACCAAACCCCGTTTCACCGTCAGTACCAAATCCCATTTCCCAATACCTGGTGCCCAAAAGAAAATGGATTTTGGTTCTGCTTATCGGTTCTTCTCCCAGACTCTCTACACACAGCAGCTCCAGAGAAAGAACATACAACTGGCTTGATAAGGATGAAGGGTGTATTACTAACACGTAAAGGTTATCTAGCGTTTCCTCTCCTGTGTCTGTTGGTATTGGACGCCTTATCCTCTAAACAAGCCTCACATGTCTGTTTTATCACATCCCCAAACTGTGAGACCGACTCACAGAGCAGAGGAGTCAGGATGTTGCTTGTGATTAAGGTGTTGTCTAGAAAGTTACTATGAGTGAAATTACAGCGATGTTGGAACACATAGACCAGGGGTGTCAAACTCAAGGCCCGGGGGCCAAATCAGGCCCGTGACTTCATTTTATGTGGCCCCATAAGAGATCTGAAAGAATTATATTATACGGTTACATGCCGATTTACAGAAGCACGTTGCCCATAAACTACATGTCCCACAATGCATCTCAAATTTGACTTTTTTCTCAGAATTTGACTTTTTTTCTTCAAAATATTCCTTTTTTATTAGAATTAGCTAAAAATGTGGCTTTTCTTTTTAAATCATTTTGTGACATTCTCACTGAAGACACTTGCAATTATTTGCCCTAGACTTCTGCTTTCAGATGTAGTTAATTATGAAGTTATTAGCCTATCCGATAATAATCCAATGCAGAGGCAAAAATGTAATATAATACATTATTTTATATATATTACATATTTATATATGTATTGTTATATAGTCTTGAATATAAAACTGGCCCTTTGAGTGCAACCATGATGCTAATGTGGCCCGAGATAAAATTGAGTTTGACACCCCTGACATAGATAGTATGTGTTACACAGGCACGTTTCAGCCTTACAGCTAAAGAGACAGGGAGAATTGTCAATTGAGTAAAGGTCTTCATATAAAACATTTTTGTGTCTTAAATAGGCATCTGACTTTAGTGCCAAAATTATGAACTGATAAGAACCAGGACTCGTTAAATCCAAACGATACCCAACCCTAATCACAACTGTGTTAACTGTGTGGTCGAACTGGAAGAACTGACACTTTTTTTGGTCGAACCGGAAGTGTGAAACGGGGCGGGGCTACATAAGGTCATCCTATTATAAACAGATAAACATACCATGTGTACACGGCTCCAGACTTGGTGAGCGCCACAGAGAACTGAGAGCCACATTCCACTTTGACTACGCCGAGGCCGGTCAGAGAGTCGATCTGCAGAAACAAGAAGTTAATACAGCGGTCGTTTGAGGCTTTAAAACATACATCACGTCTTTTTCAATATTCATTTCATCCCTCCACAATGTGCATGCATTCTGCCTCAAGGATCAAGATCTTATTGTGTCTCTTGGCTCTTTAATAATCAGGTTAATTATGTTCCAAGTGCAATATGTCTTAATGCTTTCAATGTTTTTTTGTTCAATTGCCTTGTTATAGAAGTGTGCTAAATCAGTCTATATATCTCTTTAATCCATATCTACTAGAGATGGGAACGATTAATCGAATATTCGAAATTATTCAGAGAATATGAGTTGTGAATATTTATATTGTAATTTTTTTTTTTTTTTGGAGGGGTGCCTAAGTTGATACATATTATCAAATGGAATAATTCAATGTATACGACAGTGCCATAGCTAAGTGTGTTAGGTCTAAAGGTGTGTGTTGCTCCGCTCACCGGTCCCTCACAGCGGGCAGAGCTGCAGGTGCTGATCTCTCTCTCTCTCGCGTACGGTTATACTTTACTCGCGTTTATGTCCAAATCCATCAGATCTAGTTCTAGCGAATGATATGGCTGCTGCCCCTCCCTACATGCAGATCACACAGACTCAAAGCTCATCTTCTGCCCAAATGCGGCGTAAATGCGCTCCGCAGTTACCCCGTTGCGAGGTTCCGGCGCTAACAGTTCACGGGCGTGTTTTTTGGGGGTTGAATATTCGAATATACATTTGCTTTCAAATTCCCATCCCTAATATCTACCACAAGGCCCAAGTTTTAAAAGCTAGCAGTGCTTAACTACTGTACATTTGAAGAAGTATTTCAGACATTACAAGAAAGTAAAAACGAATGTTGATGCTTTTGACACATACTCTGTTCTCTTCATATGTCAAATAAGGGGGAAAGGAGACATAGTATAAAGCCATGCCTCTGCCGACCTCTGTTGCATGCCACAGTGTGAACTTTTTTTACCTTCATGGGGATTTTACAGCCGTCGCTGCCCCCCCGGCCCAGTTTGCCGTAGTCCCCGTCCCCCCAGGACCAGACCATGTCGTCGTCTGTGAGACACAGAGTCTGAGCGTCTCCGCTGCCACAGGCAACATCGATCACCCGGTGACCCTGCAGAGCGTCAACCTGCAGGAGACACAGACAGCGACAGTGAGGTCAAGTCAATTGATTAATAGCAAGATTACAATGTTAGTAAAATCCTAAAAAGATGGGAGAAATGGAAAGTGGATATTACCCCGATACGCCCTTCTTTTGTTTAACTGTTTGAATCTTATATTTAATTATCTATACTGTCAATGTTTTATGTTGAAAAGAAAACACTCCATGTTCTTGTGTGCTTATTGTTGTTGGTTTCCACTTTCTTTGGTTCATTAGTTCTGTTTTTAATTCAGCAGGTGAACCTATATGTTCATAAAATAGTGTGTGTGAGCTTAACTGTGTGTATTAAACTAAAACGGAGCATTTTCTGTCAGCTCAGATTTTATTTCTGCTTTTTTTAAGCTGTAGTATAAAGTGCTCATGTATAGGTTGCTGCCTGAATATGCTTCATGAAAGGCAGGTTTTCCTATAAAAACAATCATTTCTGATCCATAATATCTTGGTTTATTCTTTTCTAAGGTCACATTGTTCTGTTCTCTCACATAATACACTACAGTAAAAAACATCTTATTGATATTTCCTTTCTATTGGATTTATTCGCATTGCATTTGATATAAGATTATTTTCTTCTCCCTGCTCCTTTTCGGTCAATGGTGTGTTTACACAGACATGTTTTGTTAACAATTATTATACATTAAGTTGTGCATACCATGAACGGAACAAATACAAATGAAATGAAATGATATTGAGGTAATCCAAAAGCCTTTATATGAGAAATAGATGTAAACAGTTACTGACCAGTTTGGGTTTGAGCTGGTCCTCGCTGTCTCCGTGCCCCAGGCGCCCGTAGCGACCCTTGCCCCAGGTGAAGAGCTCTCCGCTGGCCGTGATGCAGGCGCTGTGAGCCCCCCCGGCTGCGATATCCACCACCTCCACCCCCCGCAGGGACTCGATCACACGAGGGCGGTCACACGGGCTGAAACAGAGAGGAGTCAATGTCAATATAACACTCTTCAACAAACGCAATGCAAGACGTTTTTTAAAAGATGATACAGACGAAGAGAAGGGGGATAAAGACAAACCAAATGTAGGAGTTTTTTAGACCACATAGAAAGAAATGTGTTCCTTTAATTTGTATTTTGAGGTCATACTGGCAGAAGTATGTCTTCGCATTTAAACAGAGATGTTTTTTTAGAACACATTATGTGCAACATAATCCTATTTCTTACACATGGGGGTAAAAATGTGTTTTCAAAGATTACGTCCAAATATGGTCAAAACCCATATGAAAAATGTATAATTTTATAACAAAATTCCTTCTATAGAGAGGCGAAGTCCCTCCCTTTCCGGGGGGCCTCCATGGGACCTTATTTCGGAAAAAGTATGCATTGAAGTCAATGGAGAGAGAAAGATTATCTTTCGATCCCTTTTGAATTGAGCCACGAATTACACATATGATGTTTGTCAATTTAAAAGATAATTTTACAAGTCAAAAAAATAATAATGTGTCGTAAAACTGTGAAGTAACACTTTTTTTGGTGTGAAACCGCTCAATGAACTACATCTCCCGTCTCGCACCACACACCAAGACGGCCGTCACGTTGGCACATTTCACTTCTTTCTTTCAGAATGAGGCGAAAAGTATTAAAAGAGGTGAAAATCACTACAAGTCTGGGCATGTTGAGAGCTGTACATACACACAAGGGGAGTTAGTCGGTTCCTAAGAGCCAGCATGCGGGACCGGGATTCTGGGATTTGTAGTCTTTCTAGTTGCGTATTTTTCATAGTCTTATATTTCAACAGTTTTACGACAAACTGTGACTTTTTTGACATGGAAATGATTTTTTAAGATTGACAAACATCATATGTGTAATTCGTGGCACAATTCAAACGGGATGGAAAGATAATCTTTCTCTCCCCATTGACTTCAATACATAACTTTTTCCGAAATAAGATGGTAGACTTCGCCTCTCTATTATTCTACTATGTTTTCTTTTTTATAACTAATTTAATTTAGTGCGAAGTTGAAACTAATTTAAAATCTATAAAACTGTATTCAAACTAAATTAAGATTTTTATTAAAAACGCTGTAAAAATGCAACCCCTTAGATCCTTAATTCCTACAGTGACAGTGATTTGAAATGACTTAGCGGATGTTGTTAACCGAGAAACAAAGGTGCACAGTTAAATAAAAAATATATATAAAGATACATAGAACTTTATCAGTCTATAAATAATATGATAAATAATACAAATTACAAATTAAAATAAATAACTACTAAAACAGATCAATATCTTTTATAAATAATAATAAAATAACTAAATTATTTTTCATTTCAGAAAAGCATTCATTGTAAGACCTGAAAATCATTTTTAACACAATTTAGACCTACATTTATAACTAAATAATGCATTTTTGAGGACTTTGCAGAAATCCTGTATAAAACTGAACACTTAACATCACTCCTTAATTCCTACAGTGGTTTAAAATGTCATCGTGTGTGTTGTGAACTGTAAATATCAAGGTTCAAAGTCATATATATATATATATATATATATATTATTGAGTGTGGACCTTCTGTTCCCATGGCCCAGCTTCCCGTCCTCCGCCTCTCCCCAGGAGTACACCTCCCCCTCGGAGGACAGCGCCAGGCAGTGCTTCCCTCCGGAGTTGACGGCCACCTTCCTGATGTAGACGTGCTGGATGGACTCCAGCAGCGTGGGGGTGGAGACGGACTCTGTGCCCCCGATGCCCAACCGGCCCCCCGCCCCGTATCCTGTTGCGTACAGCTGAGGATCGAGAAAAAATGTATTAATATGACAATGTATATCACGTTTTCCTGGAAGACCACAGACACAACTATACACTCTCTAATACTCCACTATTGTTCAGAATATGACAATACATTGGATAAGGGTCATGGTTACAGCATGTTTGGTTTTGAAATTCATAATAAGGACTTATGCATACATTTCTTGTCAAGATATGTGTTATATGTTCATAATGTTCAGGTTTAAGGACCATTCTTTGGATACTACACGTGCAGAAAATGCTTCTAAGTTGGGTTTTTTACTGCAGACATCAGTGGAACAATCTTGAAAATAAATCCTATTTTGATAACTTTGATTCATTATTTACTTTAATGTGAAATAAAGTAGAGAAAATCTGAAAATCTCCAAATTGAAAAGCAGAAAACAGCATTTTCATTGGAAAAATTCTATTGAAAAAACTTGAATCAGGCTCCCTTAGATCAGATGAGTAACAGACAAAAATATCACTAACATTGTGTATCAAACATGTTAATTACTGTATTGTGTGATGAGATTAGAGACAGACCTTTCCATCTGCAGTGACGGCGAACAGCGTCTGCTCCCCCCCGATCAGCTGCACCGGCCTCAGTGTGGCGAGGGCTTCAGTGGGCGTGGGAACTTTGACCTTCGCCCCCTCGATGCCCCCCAGCTGGCCCCTGTGGTTGTGGCCCCAGCCGTAGATGGTGCCGCTGCCCCCGGCCGACAGCGTCCAGTCGTCCGGTCGCCGGTTCATCCACTGAACGAGCTGCTCGTCGTGCTCGCGCTTGAACAAGTCGTGACTCTCGTGGAGGCTGTTCATGATCTCGTGGTCGGCCATAAGCTCTCGGATCTTCTTTGTGACCTTCAACGGCAGAGGAGATAAGGAGGGACAATTTGTAGTATACCTGGTTACATTAAATATATCTTTTTTTTTTTATATCATTTGAATGTAAAAGTGTTAAGACCAGTGATGGGGTCATTACTCAAAAAAAGTAATATATTACATTACTTCTTTACTCTCTACATAATGTAACTCGTTACATTACTTTTGCGTGACTCAGCAACAGCCTATAGATGAGAGTAACACATGCGTCACTTCCGGGCAAAAATGACGGCTCCGCCCACTTTTGGGGGAAAACAAAGCTGTCATTTGAATGGCGGTCAATACAAATTCTGAAGTCTTTGCCAATCCGATCAGAAATGTAAGAAAACCGTGGATTTTTGGATGTTCAAAGAGCCCGATTACGATGGCCAGACAGGCAAACAATTACATTAAATCATTGGAAATCTACGAGCGGGCTCGATATATGGTTAAATATAGCAGTTGGCGATCGATGTCCATAGATGAGAGTAACATCTACGTCACTTTACGGCCCCGCCCACTTTTGGGGGAAACAACGCTGTCATTTGAATGGCGATCGAGCCTGAAGCCACAGAGCTCTTCTGTTACTGTCCTTTCTTCTTAGAGGAAGTTCAGAAACACTGAACTCTGGATTTGTTTTAATGTTTGAGGTGCAATAAACGACACAGCAGCTTTTTGGCATGATACAACTATTATTTTCCGCCTCGCTCATGAGAGTAACGGACCGTCTCCACAGCAGCGTTAAAAAAATCTTGGAGGTGGGCGTATCTGAGGCTTGGGGATTTTTTTGCGATCAACCAATCACATGAATCTCCCGCCCGCGACATACGAAGCCAAAAAGCCCGAAGTAAACTGGATATAAACTCCCCAAAACAGGCGAAAACATACCACTGTATCTGCCACCTCCCTCCATGCCTGGCTCCTCCGGTTTATATCCCGGTAGGTCTGGTCATAAAGCACCGGGTGATTGATTCGCTACCGCTAATTTCTCCTCCATTTTTTGGAATATGAGGAAATGATCTGCGGTATGTCTCTCCCAGCATACACGCCGTTTGATTGGCTAGAGCTTGAACTGCCAGATTTGCGTACACGGGATTTGATTGGCTGACGCTTCCACCTCAGCTTCAAAAGTTGAACATTGTTCAACTTTGAATCTTGAAAATCCTGAGAATCTCCGCTCGCCTGCCCACAATGCATTCCGGCGAAAAGTGAGGGAAAGTGACGTCACCCCATTCAAAGTGAATGGGCAGAAGCGTTTCAAGATTTTTTAACGCTGCTGTGGAGACGGCCCGTAACAGCTGGCGAAATTACGGCCTTGCCTACTGATTTGAATTTAACCATATATCGAGCCCGATCGCCGATTTCCAATGATTTAATGTAATTGTTTGCCTGACTGGCCATCGTAATCGGGCTCTTTGAAGATCCGAAAATCCACGGTTTTCTTTAATTTCTGATCGGATTGGCAACAACTTCAGAATTTGTATTGATCGCCATTCAAATGACAGCGTTGTTTTCCCCCAAAAATGGGCGGGGCCGTAATATTCGCCCGGAAGTGACGTAGGTGTTACTCTCATCTATAGCCAAAACTTAAAACGTAGGCCTACATGTGCACACATATAAGAATTACTATTGCAATAAGGAAGATGTCAGCAGTGGTAGACACAAATTCTAAACTTTCAAACGTTCTCTTAAGTTCAGTGTCACATAACACTGTTGATGACTTTGCCATGTCTCTGTTCTGCAGCACAACCCCTGTGACAGTTGCATGTGGACAAGTTGCGCAAATGTCACGCAAATATAAAATCCCTCTAGTCTGTCAAAGGGAGAATCTAGTCATTTGTTTGCGCAATGTTAGTAACTGTAGTGTGATACTGGTGAAGACTCACTTCATCCAGGAAGGCTCTGGGCTGAGAGTTCCTCTTGTCCAGAGCCACAGCCACTCTGGAGGCGGTGCAGTACCGGCGGAACCAGGCCCACTTATGGGTCTCAGCGCAGCAGGGCAACGTGTCCAGCTCCAGGTCGCAGGCAAGAGCAACCAACACCTGGACAAATAACACAAAAACCTCCTTTATGATCTACAAAAAACGAATGCACATTTGTCCATTCCACATTATTGGTTTTGGTTAATGTCTCCGGGAAGATTTCAGAATCCGAATTGATATGAAGATGAGAAATTACATCATTAAGTCATGTAGACACAGATTATGTCTTTCAGCTTTAGGCCCTTAATATTGTTAGATAAAATAAAACATGTTGAAAGAAACCAGAATATATGAAGGTCTGTCTGGCTCGTAACATTTTAATTATTTCCAACGGACAATACGACTTTAAATGTGTCGAACTTCAACAGACTTTTTCCGCTCAAAGTCGAGTAAATACGGGCCTACGTTACACTGCTATTAACCGATGGTGGTATAACTTAAGGTAATAATAATAAACGTACCTTGAAAAATGGACTGTGAAGCAGCTGCTTTCCTCCCCTGACGATGGGGTCCTCGTACTCGTACTGCCTCTGCAGAGCCTCTGGAAGCCCCTTCACTAAGGCGGCCAGCGCACTGCCTGTGAAACTCTGAAAGAAAATAGATCATCAGATAAATTACTTATTTAAACCATGAGCTTTGAGCTTCCATAGTACTGTATTGTATAGTTATTTACAATGTTTAATAACACTATTATTACAGGCATATATCTTCGCACCAAAATAGATTATATGTTAGAAATTCTATATCAAATCAGATATTGAGCACTCTTGTATCAGGCTCCTTAGATTAAATCGTCAGCCAAACATAGTATAAACCCAATAAATATATCAGTAAAGCCGTTTATTAAGAAACTTTTCTCCGTGGGGTCTCACCATAGAGCGCGCCTCGCCCTCGGTGTATCCCAGCAGTCGGTTGATGTTGATGGACTGACCGTACTCTGTGGTCAGAAGCTTCCTCAGTCTCTGCAGAGCCCACATCCTGTGGCCGGCAGCTGCAAATACATTCAATTCAATACATCATGAATTCGGAAACGCCATTAATTCTCTACACCTCTAACCCTAACCATAACCCGAACCCTACTCCTTACATCTGACTTGGCTTTTACCTTTTTGTACCTTAGAAACAGCGTTTCCGCCAGGGGGGCGTCTTGCCGTCATTTGACGCCCTTATTCAGCTCGGAACGCCCTGAACTCGAGCCGAGGGCGTCCAAAAAAATAAATAACTCGAGAGAAGATCAAGTTTCTATCGCTTGAAATGACGAAAAGGAAAAAGGACAAGGACATCCCTCTGTTGGAGGGGCAAAGGAGTCTGGTGGGATTCTTTTCGCCGCCAGCAAAGCGTGTTCCTGTGACGGAAAGTGTACTGCCGGCGAGCCTTGACGGGGGGTGCTAGTGGAGCACGCGCGTGAACTGCGAGCGCCCGGAGCCTCGCAGCGGCGAAACTGAGGCTCCGTGGTAAACTGAAGAGCCGTTTAGGAGCCGTTTAGGAGCCGAAAGAGCCGGCTCTTCTTAGTGAGTCGAGCCAAATGATCCGGCTCACTAAAAAGAGCCGGAATTCCCATCACTAATACGTAAAGAGATAGTATCGACGGCTCAATTCAAAATTCAAGTCACGTGACACGACGTGACGTCACAAACCACCGCCCCCCCCCCCGCTCTCGGGGTGGACGCCCTCTCAGCCCTGGTCTGGCGGAAACACTGCTTAGAAACATCCCTAAAGGTCTAAGGTTATTCATGTACCTTTGTTATATTTAGTCATGTTTTATTATCTTTGCTTTTAAATGAGTGTTTTTAAATGTAATATGTTTCTTAATGCTCTTAATGTCTTTCATTTTTTGAAAGCACTTTGAATTGCCTTGTGTTGAAAGGTGCTATATAAATACACTTGCCTTGACTAAGAAAAGTCACATAAATAAACCTTTTGGAGATGATTATGGCCACAAGTACCGTACCTAGTGCACTGAGCTGAGCGCAGGCAGCCAGGGAGGCGGCGAGGCGCGGCACGATGCTCCGGTTGGAGGCGAAGTTGAGCCTGAAGTCCAGCAGACATGTGACCAGATCCATGGAGGGGCAGGACAGGATGCAGCGGTCTGAGAGGAGGTCTTTGGGACCTGGGGAGGGAAAGGAAAAGGATTAATGTCACACATTGTCCTAATGGACACCCTGATCTGGTCACAGATTATTGTCAGTGTTTAGTCGTATGAAGTGGCTCACCAGCAGCAGGCATAATGGGATACACAGTGAAGCGCCATCCCCATCCGTTAACTGAGCCATCGCTGGTGAACTTCCATTTGAGTTCATCCCCCGGGATCCTCAACTCACTGGACCAGTCGGACCACTCCCGCCCTGAAACACACACACAGTCAGACTTCATTCATGGACACACACACTTAATGGTTACTCAGATTTATGCTCCTCCTCTCATCACCTGATCGGACGGATACGATCCTGTTGGCTCCGTCCATGATGGTCAGCGGGTCGTGGCGTCGCTCCGTCGAACATTGGCGGTCGAACTCGATCCTCAGACCCTCAGCACCTACAGAACAAAATAAGAGATACATTAAAGATGATACGGCAATTTAAAGTGTTTTTCAACAATATATTATAGGTTTAAGATATATACAAAACATGTCTCTGAAGTGTTTGGCTCCAGATAATTGCGGCATCCCATAATCCCCTCTGTTTCTGTATCTTCTCTGTTTGTACCTGGGATCTTCACGGTGCCGCTGGTGGAGGTGTCGTCGGTGTACGGGTGGATGCTCTCCACCACGATGGGCTGAGAGGACAGACGGCCGCTCTGAGAGTCCGTCGCCACGTCCTCCAACTCTGTGACACACAACTCCAGCAGCATGTCCGCCACCTGCAACACCAGAGAGACAGAGATTAAACAAATGTTACCAACATCCGACCAATCACAAGGCTAGGGAGATAAAGATGCACCCAAATAACCATTCAATATAATTCACAAAAGTTCCCATAAGACAAATTATGCCATATTAATAATATATATATATAATAATCTTTTATTTTTCCTTCTATGGTATAGTATAAACTAGGGCTGCACAAATAATTTTATATTACTTTAGATTGACTTTAATATTGACTTTTTATGTTCAATATTGACTTTTAAAATGCTCACATGGAAACTAATGCTTTACATCTCAAAGTGCAATGATAATATTTTGAGCTTCAAACTATTTTGCTGATTTTATAGGGCATTCATATTGGTCGTTCTCTGCAATACTACTACTACGATGTTTTAAAAGCGACTACACTTCGGTTTTGCAACAGTAATGTCTATCCCAAATGTTGAAATCTTCACATGCAGTCAACATGTGTTTGCACTATTTGCGTATTTTAATCGCAATTACAATTTTGGCCTGCCACAATTACGAAAACAACATAATCGAAAAAAACGATTATTTTGCTTTGCTAGGTTGTGACAGTGCACTGCAACATATTGGATCTAATTTATTTTAGTGTAATTTATTTGTATTTATCATATTTATATATGTTTAGTAGCTTGAGGAAGTGCGCTCCAAAATATTTGTTGATCTTGTTTATTGGTATTTATTATTTTGATATTATTTAAATGTAAATATAAATGTATAATTTATTTTTGTATTGGTTTTTCAGTTGAATTATACGTTCAGGGTAATCAACAGTTAAAAAGATACTGTTCAAATTATTATTTGTATTTGTTTTGAAGTTCAATAAATGGATGTTTTCAAAGTCAATGAATAATCGTATTTAATAATCGTGATATCAATTATTGACCAAAATAATCGTGATTATGATTTTTGCCATAATCGAACAGCCCTAGTTTGCACCTTAATAAAGCTACTGACAGGAGAGAGAGTACATCTTACAAGCAAAGTAAAAAAATGGGTTTTGCCGGTAACGTGATATTGTAAAATTTTCAACGTAAGTAAATCACCTGAGGGTAAGCTGTTCCCATGCCTGACAGCACGGCGGACAGCACCTCCTTCCCTTTCTCTCCGGAGCGGCAGGACACCGCCAGCTTCAGCAGGTCCACCATCACACGGGTATCATCGGGAACGAGCAGACTGGTGAACTCATCCAGGTACTGAGGCTCCGGACCCACAACCTTACTATGGCTCTCCGAGTCCTGAAGGGAACATAAAGCAGGACAACGTGTTCGGGTTAAAGGAGTGGGGCAGAAATGACAGATTTGTGTAGGTAGCATCTCCCTGGTTTAGCACGGTCACATGAATTCACGTCAAAACCGCTAATCTAAAGGTGGCTAATGCTGGGCGTGATGACGTTTAGTCGTCTCATTTAGTGAAGTGCTGAAATGCCGACACATTTCTGGGTTTTAGGACTCATTCCTGCACCACTTTGTGAATTCACACATGCCGAGTCAGTCAAACTCACCTCTTTGGTCTTAGTCATGGTTTCAGCGATGATGCTGGCGGCTCCGGGGTCATCAGTGACGGGGATGAAGGGACGAGAGGAACCGCCGGAGGCAGACGGGGTTATACCTGAGGAGGGGGTGAGAGCATCTTCTGAGGAGGGAGCCTACACACACACACACACACACACACACACACACACACACACACACACACACACACACACACACACACACACACACACACACACACACACACACACACACACACACACACACACACACACACACACACACACACACACACAAAGACACACGTTAGGACCATGTTCACACAATAGGCTAGATCCACTAGGGTGCGTTTTTTCAATTTCTTAAATAAGAACATTAAATTAAGAAATGCACCATGTATGACAGAATCAATTATCTTTCTTTGTATGAATTTAGTTTGAACTATAACATCATTTTAATTGTCCCATGTCATGCTTTTCCAGTTATTACCCGTCCCCTTGTGTGTTATGAAGGTTTTTCTGCATGTAAACGGTCTGCAGAGTCACAAACCCTCAAAGTACACCCTGTAGCGAGTAAAACTCTAACACAGAAAAGACCTGTCTATGCTGCCCCAGAACGCCTCGTTGGAGATTTTTTGATTGCTGTGTACAGTGACGTGACCATACCCAAATGGACCAATCCGTGGAGCTCCTCACACACACACTCTCTCAGCAGCGCGCTTACACTGTAGGTGCGCCGCGTTTGGGGGGTGCTAGTGGAGCCTCGCAGATGTGGGTGCTGCAGCCCCCTCAGCACCCCCCCTTCCCGCGTCCATGATGCTCAGGCTGAGTTTCGCGATGTCTCGCTGTCCCGCAGACCCCACGCAGCAACCAGGAAACGACACCCGTAATAGAGCTCACACTGTCCCCTCCTCACAGCAGCGAGCCGCGCAACGTCCCGCCAACACGGCACCCAGACCCCACGCAGCATTCTCATCTGTTTGTCCTTACTGGTGTCATTTTCTGGTTGCTAACGCCATTGTAACACATAATCACTGATGTTCCGCTGTAACGGTGGTGATCTCATCAGAACAGAGTGGGCGAGCTGACCAATCAGAACAGAGGGGGCTCACAGGGAGGGGGGGGGGCAGGAGCTCCAACAAGCCGTGTAGGACAGAGAGTGAATACACATACTATACAGAGATGCTGTATGAGAAACCAATGTGAGTTTGGAACATTGAACAATGTAAATCTATTCTAGTAGACCTCAACAATGGAATTATGATCAGTAGAAATGGCCATGACATGGGACCTTTAATATTGAGCGTTGTAAGGTATTATCGCCTGTATTCATTCTTAATAGACCCTGGCCGGCAAAACTACCAAGATACCCCACATGTTAGAAACAAAAACATTTTAATTCATTGAAATATAGGTATAATATAATTTAGGTTATATATGTATCTGTTTTATTGTGTTGCACTGTTGGAGGAGCCTGTTACCTAAGTTTTCATTGTGATAACTAAACTGTAGCTATGCACAAATTACAATAAAAGCCTTGAATGTTGAATCTTGAATTTGGGAGCAATCGATGCCGTGGGTATGGATAAAAAAGGTAAAAAAGGAACACCCTAACTGATAATTGTGATTTAAGTCATACAAAATATAAATGTGTTCCTCACCTCTCCCTTCTTGTCCTGCCAGGGGTTGGGGCTGAGCCTCTCCTCGGCTTCAGGAAGGACCGGAGGCCCCTCTTCATCGCTGACGCTGGAGGAGGAGGAGGAGTCAAAGGGGGGGAGAGGGGAGCTGGCGGGAACCTCTGCAGGCAGGATCATGCTGGCCGGCATCAGAGCTCCAACCACTGCATCCCTGAGGACACACACAGAACACTTCCTGTCAACGGTAACACACACACTAATGACAGTTACAGTGCCTGATTATATTATTTAGAGGTCATACACACTTTCAGGGCGTCACTCAGCACCACTTTGTAAACACAGCTATGAGGATTTTAACAACATCGACATCCCAAAGCATCTTAATCCTTTTCCTGACGTGATGCTAGCCAAAAGAATTTTCATTTTCATGGTTAAATATTAAACTAAGGTGGCTGTCATGACGATTATTTTCATTATTATTATTATTTTCACACACACACACACACACACACACACACACACACACACACACACACACACACACACACACACACACACACACACACACACACACACACACACACACACACACAACACACACACACACACACACACACACACCACACACACACACACACACACACACACACACACACACACACACACACACACACACACACACACACACACACACACACACACACACACACACACACACACACACACACACACACACACACACACACACACACACACACACACACACACACACACACACACACACACACACACACACACACACACACACACACACACACACACACACACACACACACACACACACACACACACACACACACACACACACACACACACACGGCTAGATCCACTCGGGTGCGTTTCTTTTCAATTTCTTAAATAAGAACATTAAATTAGACGATTATGTTCATTATCTGTTGATGTTTTTAAATCTAGAGACATTTAAAGATATTCACTTTAATATGATATACGACAGAGAGAAGCAGAACATCTCTATATGTGATGGGCTGAAAACAGCAATTTTGGACAATTTTGCATTAACATTTCCACAGAGATTTGAGCCTTTGCAGACCATTTACATGCACTAAAACCTATAGAACACACTACAGGAAAGGGAAAACCAAAAAAAACAAAATAGGGCGTCTATAAATTACTTTCACATGTTCCGAGTTTATGACTTTGTTATTTTTACTGTTTCCAGACTTCTTAGTGTGCATGTCACATGTCATTTTGGCTTTTTATTCTAAGGCTTATGTGCAACAAGAAATGAAAGAAGGAGGGGGGGGTGACAAAGGTCCTTAGCCAGTCGTTAACATGGTTGAGTCACATGGTGCGTTGTAGGAGAGGATGTATTTCCGACTCACCGAGCATACATGATCTGCAGCGCTGACAGAACGTGGGACAGAGCCTGCTGCTTGGCCGGGTTTCCGTCCAGACTGAGCAGGATCTTGGCAAGCGACGGGCGGTTGGGCTTCACGCTGCTCTGCCCGCTCAGCTTGTTGTTCACTGCTGCTGAGTCACTGTCAGACTGGACGCCTGCAGAGGACAACACACACACTATGGCACGGTTTATAATGTGACACACACATACAGCTCCTGCAGATTTCAGACGGAGTCAGAGCTGCAGTCAATCTGTGCCACCTCGATAAGTGAAGTAGCTGCACCCTCTGTCCTTAGACCATCACAGGAAAAACTCCCGAAGAAACCCCACTATTAAGAGGGAACCTTTTTATTTAGTTATTTTTAAACGTTGTTTACTGGGTTTTTCACCAGCATACAGTTATTCTATCAGAGCATGTATCAAAAGTAGGTAAACAAATCTTCACTTTATACAAAATAGGTAGAGTAACAATGTAAACAAAATCCCACACAGACAGAAGACAAACAGACATACAAAAAATAAACAAATAAATAAATAGAAAACCAGTCAGCTAAAACAAAAATGTCAATAATAAACAATAAATGTCAGTACGGCAGCACCTCCTCCCCGCGACAACCCGTCCAGTGTTGGGACCCCTCCAAAATGCAAAAAGTTAAATCAGGAATGATTGGGAACTTTCTCCTCTTAACACATTTGAAAAAAGGGCCCCATATTTTGAGGGAAAGATTTGATGAGTACCTAAGTAAGAAGCTCCGAGCGAGTCCCGGGCGGTCTGGAAGAGGACGGGCTCGTGCACGGAGGGCGTGGTCACGTCCACGGTGGTCCAGGCCACGCTGTGGGAGGAGCCACAGGCCACCCGGGTGATCTTCTGCCCCTCCAGACCCTGCACCAGGGTGGGCTTCCTGTTCACCGTGGTGGTGCCGTTCCCCTGCTGCCCGTGGTCGTTATCTCCCCACGCAAACACCTGAAGGAGAAACACGAGACAGAGGGGAAAGCCTCAGTATAAACACGTAGGTCTTTGGTGTTACATTCAAGGTTTTTTTTAACTGTTCTAAAATGGAAAATCGTGAACTTAGTTTTCTTTAGTTTAATAAATGTGCAGACGCCCTGAGAGGCAAGGCAGGGCTAGACATTATCAGGGTATATGCAGGAATCCTGAAGTCAAATGTAATCCCTTTTAAGACCTTTTTTTAAGACCCTTTCCATACATTTTAAGACCTCATCGCCACTTTGAGTTTTAACCGGTTACATTGGCGACACACTTTACCTCACATTGACTATATACAGTATTGATTGTCCTTCCTCCTTATCTTCCAACCATTTGGACGCAAACTTGCATTTCCCCATAACGATGTTGTTTAACAACCGGCGTAAACGGAGCTTCGCGCGCTATCAAGCAGTGAGCGTGCGATGTCCTGTTCAGATGACGTCAAATCCAACGGGATGCCATAAATAAATGACACAGAATCACACTACACACCTACGCAATGATTACATTCAGGCAAACTGTAGAATACAACCTCTTTGGACAATTTATATACTTATTGAAAACAAGCTACAAAATGTAATACCTTGGAAAATGCCGTTTAATACTTTTTAATAGTCTTCATTTTCGCTAAATTGATTTATCAACTTTTAATACTTTTTAAGACCCCGTGGACACCCTGTCTAAGCACTCAATCTTAAAAACCTCTTCAAGTGTTCAAATATTGAGTAGCTGCCTCTTATGATAGGAAGTGATGTGTCATTAAATTCCTTCTGAGGGATGGTAGTATATAAAGGGAAACTGGCCGTGAGACAGTAAAGGTCAGAGTAGTGAGAGTCGATAAATGAAGTCGTGCTACAGGAGGAGAAAACACACATCTGGCTCAGAGCCACGGCAGTAACTGAGCAGAGGCTCTGGTTTGTAACGCTCTGACGGTCAGTACACACCTGTCCTGTTTCTGTAACGGCCAAACAGTGCAGCGCTCCCACCGCCACGTGGACAATCTTTTTCCCCCGCAGTCCCTCCACCATCTGAGGCTTTCGCACGTGGACATCGGTGCCGTGGCCCAGGCGGAAATAGTCGCCTTTGCCCCTGTAAGGAAACACGAACAGTTAAAGGTCCCCTATTATACTGTTTTTCAACAATATATTACAGGTCTCAGATATATACAGAACATGTCTCTGAAGTGTTTGGCTCCAAACACCAAACAGATCATTGCAGCATCCCATAATCCCCTCTGTTTCAAAAGTGCTGATTGTGGGTGTTTCTCAATGTCGAGGAAGGCTGCTCCAGAGCCACTATTTCAAGCATACTACGTCATCGAGTCCCGCCGAAGGACTGTTCCAATGTCCAGCATACTTGGAATTCTACCGAGCCCGGCGTACTTCGTAGCGAGAAATTTCGAGGCTGCACATGTGTAGACTCCGCGGTCTTAAAATCCCCACAATGCTTTGCGCACGGACCAATTTCCCGAAATCTGTGGCGGAAAATGTAAGGCGGGGCCTCTCATATGACGCACACCTGCTCGCCTGTTCCACTCTTCGTTTTCCGAATGCCAGGAAGGATTCTTGCCTAGCTTCTGAAGCAAGTGACTCAGAAGACATGTCCTACCAAGGAAGCGTCCTCGACATTGAGAAACACCCTCTCTGTCTGATACTTTAGATGAAAATAAGGAGCCCCTCCCCACGCCCCTCTGAGAGATATTTGGTTAAAAAGAACACAATGGTGCTCTAGGAGGAGATTCAGGTGATAAGGGGGGGGGGGGGGGGGGGGGGTCACCTTGGTTTGTGATTGGCTAATGGTCACACAAGCCAAAACATCGTTATGACATCATAAAGTGGCCAAAATCTGATCAGCTCATTTTCAGACAGGTTTTTATATAAATGGATCAGGACAAAAAGAGAGAGAATCTTTTTTCCTGAAACTTTCAGAGTCTCTTCACACAGAGGGGACACATGTTGATGTAGAAGAGACATGAAGAAGAGGGGACACATGTTGATGTAGAAGAGACATGAGGAAGAGGGGACACATGTTGATGTAGAAGAGACATGAAGAAGTGGATTTTGCATAATAGGTGACCTTTAACACTCATTGGAAAGCAAAAATGACAAATGATCAGTTTAGGAGGCTATGTTTCATCTGCAGTCCAGGGAAAGATGTTTCAGAATCACCCTGAAACAATGACTGTAATATTAAAACAAATCCTCCTTCTTACCAGGTCCACACCACTCCAGATTTGGTGAGTGCCAGAGAGAACTGAGCTCCACACTCGATCTGACAGACCGCCTGTCCGTTCAGCCTCTCGATGTTCTGGGGGATGTTGCAGCCTTCACTGCCTCCACGACCCAGCTTCCCAAAGTCCCCGTCCCCCCAGGAGAACACCAAGCCTGACAGGAAAGAAAATACATGCATCACTAAATGGAAACTAACACACATCTATACAAGCAGAAAGAAAGCTTCTCAGGCATAATAAAGGTAGTTCAGGAGACTTTATAATGAAACAGTTTAATATACTCTGAAGGATAGTTAATGAACAGAAATACCTTCATCAGTGAGGGCCAGAGTTTGAGCGTCCCGGCTCCCACAAGCCACCTGGATAACTCGGTGTCCCAGAAGCACTTTCACCTAGAAGACACAGAAAAGGGAATTCATAGTCAATGTAAATCTCAGACAATATCTGCATTTTCTCTTCTCCTTTATTATGAACATTTTACTTCTTCAAATTCATGAATCTCAAAAAATATCAGCATTTTTGTTCTTGTAACTTTTTATGAAGTCTTAAGCCCATCTGTGTCCCTGCAGAGTATAGAGCGGTGCAGTGATGACGTATTTGTATAGGCCGACCCGGTAGTAAGCTGCGCATGGGTTCCCTCGACAAAAAGCAACGGGATTTCTCCATAGGATTTTGGAATATTGTAAAAAATAAGATCTGTGGAAAACTAACCTGTTTGATAAATGCACGTTTTGTTCAGCCGGATAATCTCCACGTCTACCCTACTTTTATAATTTTCGAATCATAAATCTAATCTCCAGAAGCAAAATGCTAACGTTATGCTATAAACGAACTACAGCCGAGTACAGCAGCACGACTTCAACGTCACGCCAACTTAAGATCCATATTCAAACATACAGATTCTAAATTGTACAAGTTGAAGCGTTTGTTTGAACAGTTTAAAGGAGGCAGGTACTTGCTTTCAAGCAGAACAGGGCAAACAAACTTAGCGGGAGTGTTTACGTGTTCGGCGTAATGACGTACAACAACTGCTAGGACTGTCTTAGGGAAGATAGCTTTTAGATACGCAGCTCCGCTAACTTGGAACAGTCTGCAAAAGGAATGGAAGCTGAGCAATTTGGTTCCACTAAATGTTTTTAAAGCAAGGATAGATGCTATCCAATCGGAAACTGTTGGAACCTGTACATTTTACTAGCCATGTAAACTGTAGTCGCTGTAAATATGCTGTATGATGTCCTTTTTGTTTTTCTGTTATGTTTATATGTATTCATGTGGAACCTACTTGTAGCAGGTCACCCTTGAAAAAGAGATCAATGATCTCAATGGGATTCACCTGCATAAATAAAGGTTTGAAATGAAATGAAATGAAACAACGTCCTCGACAACTTCTGTAGTCCTATTCAGCCACTTGTTAACAACCATCGTTTTTCAGACACGTCAACTCTTCAAAAATCCCCAGTGGGGTCACTGCTGATGTATTTAATGTCGTAGAACAAAACGTGATCCGTCTCTTAAATGTGTGTCAACCACAGACCTTATTTCCAGCTATTTTCCAAAAAGATTCTCAAAAAACCGTTGACTCTGAGACGAGGGAACCGGAGGTGGTAAAAAATGCACTCACTTCCGGGTTTTAGGACTCATCACTGCACCACTCTATAGAAGTGGTTAGATGGAAGAAGTACAGACGTACCAGTTTGGGCCTGAGCTGCGTGGTGTTGTCTCCGTGTCCGAGGCGGCCGTACTCCCCGAGGCCCCAGCTGTACAGCTCCCCGCTGGAGGTGATGGCGGCGCTGTGCGAGCTGCCACAGGCGATGTCCCGGATACGCTTCGTCTTCAGAGCCTCGATCAACCGAGGCTTGTCACAGTTCCTACAGGAAAGATGGAAAAACATGTAATTATTACTCATATTATAAGAAAGTTGTCCATAATGTATAATAATTGGAGCAGGTTAACGTGTCCAGGAAGATTCTAATGTCGTGGAAAAATGTGAAATTACGGTCAAATATTATCTGTATATTATTTACCTAAAAACAATTGATAGGAAGACTATATCAAAAATCACTATCAATAGACTTGACCATGTTTTGATGCACATTTCTGGTGCCAAAAATGTGTAATTTTCAAATATGTTTAGGCTCTTAAATGTGTATTTATTGTAAGAATAATAACAACAGTATTTGTGCAGGTTAACGTACATTCTGCTGAAGTGTCCCAGCTTGCCGTCGTCTCCCTCTCCCCACGAGAACACCTTCCCGTCCACGGTCAGCGCCATGGCGTGCCGTCCCCCAGAATGCACTGCGACTTTCTTCACCACGTAGTTACTGAGTGCAGTGATCTGGCGGGGGATTGGGATGGTCCCGCTGGAGAGACCCAGGCCCAACCGGCCGTTAGTGGCCTCTCCACAGGCGTAGATCTTCCCCTCCACTGTCACTGCAGCACAGACACAACAGATGCACACAACGGTTACATACAACACAATATGTTTTTTTTATTGAAGACACACAGAAAATACATTTGGAACATTGATAGGTTGGAATTAGATTGAGCAGTTCAAAGCCACTAGTGTTCAGCTTAGTCTCTACTATTGTCCATCAATTGACAAGCCATACATAGTTGTATAAAACCACAATTATAACCAAAACAGACCATGTAGCCAAAATGTAAGAGAGTGTTGATTGTATAAATAAATAAATACAATAAATAATAATAATAAAACAATAACAACACAATATGTTCTGATGTAGTTCAGCTAAACACACGAAAAATAAAAAACCCACAGGTGATTAGTAGCACTGAGAGATTTTGGCTCATAATTCTAAATCAATCCCACCTGCAAAGAGGCTTTTGGAGCCACCGGCCACTTGAACCACATTGAGAGCAGAGAGAGTTTCAGAGAAGGAAGGAACCTTGATCTGTGGAGGACACAAAAGGACGTTATTTAAGATGCAGCAGCTTCTCTCACTCAGAGGACAAATCTACCCTAAAATACAGCAGCCCTTCATTTAGAGTGAACTCTCCAGCGTCTGCACCTTGGAGCCTTTGAGTCCTCCCAGCTGGTCCTTGTCGTTCAGACCCCAGACGAACACTTTGGTCCTGATGGTGGCTGCTGAGTCCAGACCAGAGGACTTCTTACGAGCAAGACTGGAGGAAAAAATGAAACGCACACATTGAGGATCAGAACGTGAATGAGTTCAGCTTTGATGGTCTGCCATGAGATATGAATCAAACACTTTCTTAATGTAGCTACACCTTACCATGGTAATCTTTGATTAAAGGTCTCCTATTATACTGTTTTTCATCAATATATTACAGGTCTCAGATATATACAGAACATGTCTCTGAAGTGATTGGCTCCAAACACCAAACAGATCATTGCAGCATCCCATAATCCCCTCTGTTTCAGCCCTGTTTCAAAAGTGCTGATTCTCTGTCTGTTACTTTAGATGAAAATAAGGAGCCCCTCCCCACGCCCCTCTGAGAGATATTTGGTTCAAAAGAACACAATGGTGCTCTAGGAGGAGATTCAGGTGATAAGGGGGGGGGGGTTACCTTGGTTGGTGATTGGCTAATGGTTACTCAAGCCAAAACATCGTTATGACATCATAAAGTGGCCAAAATCTGATCAGCTCATTTTCAGACAGGTTTTTATATAAATGGATCAGGACAAAAAGAGAGAGAATCTTTGTTCCTGAAACTTTCAGAGTCTCTTTACACAGAGGGGACACATGTTGATGTAGAAGAGACATGAAGAAGTGGATTTTGCATAATAGGTGACCTTTAAGGCACGTATTGAAGAATATACTTTTTAATTTTTCAAGTATTTTCTTTTCAGCAAACAATCTGAAAACTTACTCCACCCCTTCCTGTGAGCATTTACACATTCCTTACATCCTGAATCTGCTAGTTAATGTAATGTAATGCAATGTAAATGCCTGCTTATTATAAACAAGGAAATCATCTACGACCACACAACTCACCTCCCGGTAGCAGTTTTGTCATCGTCCTCCTCTTCGTTGTCCGATGCGAGGAAGGGCACGGTGGCCAGGTCTTCATCCTCCGCTCTGATGCGTCCCACGATGCCGAGGCTGTGGATCTTACAGTCGATCCCCGAGCTGCGGCACTGCTTGATGGCGACCTCGATGTATCTGTGATACTGTGGGAAACACGTCATTTGGGTTATATCTACAACCATTTTCTAACCCATGTGCCCAACTTTTAAAGTGAGGCAGGAGAGTTAAGATAATAAACATTCATTACAAATGAAAGTCAATTAAAAGCCAACTGACCTCAGTGCAGTCACTCAGGACCAGGATGGTGGTGTCTGTGGGATTGATGTTAATCGTCTTCAGCTCAATTAGGTTGTTCAAAGAGCTTCCACCTGTAATTCAAGAAGAAAAAGCACATTGCTTTTGCTGTTAAAAAAAGTGAAAATGTCAACAACAACATGTTGATACAAGAGGAACTATTTGAAAAAGGAAAGAGTTGATTTAAAAATGCAGAAATACAAAGTATTTGTCTAAACTAAGGTGCAAGTGTGTGTAAACTGTTCAAATGTTACGTGCCTGACACCACCACCAGTGAGGGCATGTAGCTGCTGTCCGCTGGATCCACCACCATCTTCAGCCTGTGCACCAGAACATCTGGAAACAGCTCCATACGGATCCAGTGCTGTAAAGCAAAACATAAAGAAATCCTGTCAGGAAGTCCATTATACTCCAATAAAGATTAAATACACTAATGCATCTTTATCTGTGTGACCGGCATACTTATTCCCACTCTCCTTCACCCCTTTTTAAATCCCTGAAGGGCTAATGTATCCTTACAGGAAGCTTAGGATGAGGCTCGTTTTTAAATATAAAAGCACTAGAAACTTACTCTAACTTACAGGAAGCTAAGAGGGAGGCATACTTGCAAAAATAAAAGCCCCATAGAATCCTTAAAGGAAGCTCAATAAGATGCATGTTATTTCAAATAAAAGCCCCATAAAAGCAACTATACGGCTACCAGAGTTCCCGTTAGAATATTCTTTTGCCGGTCAACATGTCCGTTAAAGTTTAAATCTTCCGGACAAAATGAGAAAAGTGCCGGTCAAAGGTCTTCTTTGTTATTTATTGAGCTTTAAAACAAATTGATATGATTCGATATTAAACAAACTAATTATAGTGGATTAACTCCATTATTCAAAAGTGTACAGTAACTTACAATAACACGGGAATAATAAACGGAGAGCTCTCTCCTTCTCCTGACAGCCCGTCAGTATCATGCAGCTCGCGGATCCAGTAATGAGTGACTCTACAGTAAAACTAAACATATCTATAACTAGTTTAGGTAGTTTGAGAGGTAATTAAAATAGCTACGTGTGACTTTCTAACCTGAAGTGTGTGTTTTGCTCCGCTCACCACTGCAGGGGATCATGCAGAGCTGCGTGTCGACTAGTCAGCAGCAGCTGATCTCTCTATCCCGTCAGATTAGACTTTACTCGCGTTTATGTCCATATCGATCAGATCTAGCTAGTTCTAGCTAATGATATGACTACCTGCTTATTAAAAGACACCTAAACAATAAGCGTCGCTATGCAACCGGGTGAGGCCACAAAGTATAGCGCAGCATTATGCATTTGTTTACATGCCCACCGGAACCCCGAGGCATTACCAACAGATCAACGCACAATCAACCCATACAGGACACTCTTTCTCCACATTAAGTGTTAGACATTAGAATGGACTATTCTTGTCTGTCACGTACTATTCTTGTCTGTCACATAAGTGGCGCAACTGATGCGGTATTGCGCTAAGGGGAAATTATTTTGACCGGAGAGATTTAGATTTGCCGGTCTTCAGCATATTTTACCGGTCATATTTCGGTAATTACCGGCTAACGGGAACTCTGACGGCTACTGCTATCAATACCTCCTTATCGCTGGTATTATTACACAGTAGTCACACAGTCACAATATCTCAGTGGGGAATGTTCTAGTTTCTAGAGTAAGCATTCAATGTCGTGCCTTTCCCTGCGATCCGGAGGACTGCCAGCACTGATCGATGCTGTCGATGAGGCGCGAGACCTGGTTCACGGAGGACGAGACGTTCAGGCTCTTCACAGCTCGCGACCAATCATCGATCAGCATCCCGCGCTGGCTGTTGTGATGCTTCTTCAGCTGCTTCCCTGAGCGGCCGCAGAAACCTGGAGACTGGCCTGATGATGTTGGAGGAAACATAGCTTAGAAACAGTACAAACAGGGACAGGGTACACTACAACGTAAACATACCAAAACACAAAAACTGACGTAAAACATTCAGGTATCAGATGCTCAAAAGAATCAAGGAAGTATTGGCACTTGTTATCAGCAACACCATTCATTAACCCAGATTTGTAATGGTGATTGGGACCATGAGGATTATTCTCTCTGATATGATTTTCCTCTTAGTTATGCTTCTGCAGTGAAAATGGACACATGGGGTTTTCTGTGTGACTTACCTGGCTCGTTGATTCTGCCGAAGGAATGCCTGGTGTTGTGTTTGCGGGTCTTAAAGCAGTTTTCACAGAAGTCGAAGTCGTCGCAGTTCCTGCATTTGAACCTGGGGCCGTTTATAGGAAACATCTGGCAGCCGTCACACCTGCAGACAAAACAAGCGACGATTAAAGAACATATTGAGATGTAGAGTACAGTACATTTCCGAAGGGGCTGGTCTGGTGGTATATGAGACCAGAATTTGTCATAATGACAAGTTAAAAGGTAGCCTACACAGGCAGTCTCTGGAAACTTCAAACAAAATTGTATTGCATTAGTTATAAGTAATATCAAATCTTCCTTAACGTAATATGTTTGTTTATAAAATGACTTATGGAGCCACAAGACTTACCTAAATTGACCAAACCCCCTTACAGGAAGCATAGGATGAGGCATGTTTTCAAAATAAAAGCCTCGGAAAGTAACTTTATCCTGACCGGAAACTCAGGATTATTTACGAATCCCAAAATAAAAGTACGTCTGACCTTACAGGAAGCTCAGGAAGAGGCATTTTAAAGAAATTAAATAAAAGCATCATCAAGTATCCTTAAAGGAAGCTCCAGATGAGGCTTGTTTTTCAAAATAAAAGCCTCAAAGAGTAACTTAACTACTGACCTAGTTAATACCTAGTTAATTTGGCAGAGAGAAGGATGAAATAAGTCCAAACCTGACTCCAGGGTGAACACTGGGCACCAGCTCCATCTCCGCCAGCAGGCCGGTCCAGTGGGACTGCTGAGGGAAGTCCACGATCACATCCTTCCCATTGGCACTGAACGCTGAAACAAACCAACTAGCTCTGTCAGCGCAGAAACAATGGATTCTGTCTCTTTATTATGTGCTTGTTCAGATTATGAACAGAAGACACAAAGAGCTGCTTACCTTTCACAACCCCAACACTCCTGTGAGTGACGGAGCCCCACTTGTACTTCGGTGTGGTGACGGTGGGCTTCACCCTCACTTTGTCACCTATCTTTATGTGGGAGGGAGAACTTTGTGGTGGGAATCCTGGAAATAAAGCAAATAATGTCCGAAAACATGTTAATGTGGGAAGAAAAAACATTCTGAACTTCTCTTGCCATTCTTTTAGAACTTATCTGAACTTGTTGGATTCGCTTTTTGTTCAAGCCTTTCAAAATAAATGCCTCAGAAAATAATTATTTCCTAAGGTAACTCAGCATTAGCAATGTATTTCAAAATAAAATCCCCAGAAAGTAACTCTTACCATACAGGAAGCTCAGTAAGATGCATGTTTTTCAAAACAAAAGCTTCATATAGTAGCTGTATCATTACAGGAAGCTCAGTAAGATGCATGTTTTTCAAAACAAAAGCTTCATATAGTAGCTGTATCATTACAGGAAGCTCAGTAAGATGCATGTTTTTCAAAACAAAAGATTCATATAGTAGCTGTATTATTACAGGAAGCTCAGTAAGATGCATGTTTTTCAAAACAAAAGATTAAAATAGTAGCTGTATCATTACAGGAAGCTCAGTAAGATGCATATTTTTCAAAACAAAAGATTAAAATAGTAGCTGTATCATTACAGGAAGCTCAGTAAGATGCCTGTTTTTCAAAACAAAAGCTTCATATAGTAGCTGTATCATTACAGGAAGCTCAGTAAGATGCATGTTTTTCAAAACAAAAGCTTCATATAGTAGCTGTATCATTACAGGAAGCTCAGTAAGATGCATGTTTTTCAAAACAAAAGCTTCATATAGTAGCTGTATCATTACAGGAAGCTCAGTAAGATGCATGTTTTTCAAAACAAAAGCTTCATATAGTAGCTGTATCATTACAGGAAGCTCAGTAAGATGCATGTTTTTCAAAACAAAAGATTCATATAGTAGCTGTATTATTACAGGAAGCTCAGTAAGATGCATGTTTTTCAAAACAAAAGATTAAAATAGTAGCTGTATCATTACAGGAAGCTCAGTAAGATGCATATTTTTCAAAACAAAAGATTAAAATAGTAGCTGTATCATTACAGGAAGCTCAGTAAGATGCATGTTTTTCAAAACAAAAGATTCATATAGTAGCTGTATCATTACAGGAAGCTCAGTAAGATGCATGTTTTTCAAAACAAAAGCTTTCATATAAGTAAGCTGTATCATTACAGGAAGCTCAGTAAGATGCATGTTTTTCAAAACAAAAGCTTCATATAGTAGCTGTATCATTACAGGAAGCTCAGTAAGATGCATGTTTTTCAAAACAAAAGCTTCATATAGTAGCTGTATCATTACAGGAAGCTCAGTAAGATGCATGCTTTTCAAAATAAAAGCCCATAAGAGCTACAAAATATTTACAGGACGCTCTAGACGAGGCTTGTTTAAAAAAGAAAAAGCCCCAGAAAGTGACAATGTTTCTACAGAAAGCTCTGGTTTATGCTTGCTTTTCAAACTAACATAATCCCCAAAGAGCAACAATAAGGCTACACAGCTACTCTTGGTAGGGAAAGTTATGGTTAGAGTATGTAATCTATCTTGTGCCTTTCCTCCTCTAAGATTTGAATCCTGTACTTGAGGATACGTAAATGACATCAGGTTAAAATGTTCTCACCCAGCAGCTCGATGTGGATGTATCTGACCCAGTACGTTCCTCCTTTCTGTTGCCAGTCACACTGCACGTTCAAATCATGAAGCCCGTCTCTGTCCAGCTTTATCACTTTCCCCACGTCTCCATCGTACACTTCCTCGTACGTTCTGCAGCACTTCACCATCATCCCCACCTGCAGAGGAGGAGCTCATCTGTCAGACTCAATCACTTTTCATGTGTTGCTTTTAAAAATGTTCGAATAAGCCGCCACTCTTACCTGAATATTCTCTCTCACGTACACGGCGTAGTCATCGTTGCTTTGGAAATCTGATCGCTTCTTGAACGTCTGGCTCTCAGTCACCACTGCACCTGGAGGCTGAAGGTACACAAAGGGAAGGTTACTTATTGGTATATTTAATAATTGATTTGACCTTATTTTTACAATAGTTTCTACATGTAAAACAATGCATGCAAAATAAAATCGCTAACAATAAAAACAACAATGCTAGCTAATAAAAAAACTATGGAGTATATTATGAACATTTTTATAAAGCAAGGCATAACACATTAGTCATCAATATCATAATAATAATAATAAAGCATTATTTTCATACAACACATGCAGCTCAAATATAGGAAAAGTAAATACCACAGTGAAGACGGGCTCGGGCTCCTCCAGCTCCTCCAGCACCTCCTCGTCAGAGAACTCGTCCGACACGGTGTCTGCGTCCGACAGCTCCACCTGGGGCACCTCAGGGTGGTCCAGCAGCCAGCCCACCAGAGCCTCCACACCTGAGGGCAACACCTTATTACTCTCCACAGGTACAGCCCAAACATCAGAACACATATACGTTTTATTTTATAAATAATGCTTTATATGTCTAAACACATTTTGGTTATTTAAATGTAATTTATGGTGTTTAAATGCAGTTACAATTGTGTTTATGAGGCTTTAACGCCATTAAATATGGAATTAAGTAGAATACTTGGTTACATAAAAACATGTTGTGAATTTGGAAAATGATAACATGAATACTTTTTCAATGTTGACTTTGGTATTAAATAAATAGACATGCAAAAGCTGTACATTTCTTTTTGTTGTTGTTGTTATTGTTTTTGCAATTTTGTTGTTGAAATGTCACCATTATGAATGAAGCTTAAAACCTTCGTATTGAAATATATGCCACAAGATTTTAGCAGATTATTTTAGATATCATAACTTCGATGCGTTGCTCACTAGCTTCTCATTAACTCGTTTGTAGTGTAGCTGTGGGCATATACCAGTTTCAAAAACATGAAATGGAAGAAAGCTGTGCAGCATATGAATGTGGATTGAGAAAATGAATGTCAACATTATGAATGAAGCTTAGCCATACTTTGTGTATTATATGAAATGTTACCTGGGACGCCAGAGGCACTTCCTGTAGTTCCCGACAGAGACTTTAAGGCATACTCGATGTTTTTGCGTGCAAAGCCCATCTCCATGAGCTGGAGGACTATCGGTAAGGGAGGCACGGGGGAGGTCTTCTGCTTCTTCTGTTTAGGGGGGGCGGACGTGTTGCACGGTGACCGGCGTGGTGGCCTCGCTGGAGCTGCTCTCCTCAAACAGGGGGGAGGAGGGGTGAGCCGACTCCACCGCCAGGTACTGACACACCGCCAGAGCTGCAGCCTGCAGAGAGACACAGATAAAACACAGGTCAAATACAGTGGCAAGAAAAGGTATGTGAACCCTTTGGAATTTCCTGGTTTTATTCATGAATTGGTTATTTAAAATGATCAGATATTCATTTAAGTCACAATTATAGACAAACCTAATGTGCTTAAGCTAATAACATTACATTACATTACATTACATGTCACTTGTTAGACGCTTTTATCCAAAGCGACTTACATACTCAATACTGTGGGCAATCCCCACAGGAGCAATTTGGGGTGAAGTGTCTCAGGGACACAACGACATGCTGACTACAGTGGGGTTTGAACCTGTGCCCCCCTGATCCAAACACCAACGCACTACTCCACAACGCCACACGCCTCCCATAACCCATAAACAATTATGAACAACGCCACTGGATCAAACGTTGTCGCAAAATTAGCTTTAATAACTATTTCTCACAGGCATATAGGCAGTAGTACCGTTATAAAATCAAATTGTAACTGCACAGTGGCTGCCAGCATGGACAACAAGGTAAGCAACACTTGTCATTTATTAAATGAACAACCCGTATGGAAGCTGATGCCATATGTTTTCTCTTGAAAAAACGTGATGCGAAAGTAGTAACAAATCGGGAAAGGACACACTCAACGGTCTTTGATTCATGGTTTCTAAAACGGCAGAGTAGTGTCGACGCTAAGCTAAAGTAAAGGGTCTTGTATTAAAGTGGAGGCAACCTGACTGATGCCCTTTGACTCACCTCCATCTCTTGCCTGTCGAAGATGGCTTTGATGGGGGAGGGCTGAGTGGCAGCGGACAGCAGCTGCTGCAGGAGGATCATGGGAGGCAGCGGCCCCTCGGGGGACAGATCCCCCACATCAGGGGACAACACCACGGGGTCCTCTGCAGACAGGAAAACACAGAGGTATCGTTAGAAACTAAAAACCCCAAAAGAACACGGTACACTCAAATACACTCACAGGGAAACCTTCAAGGTATGCAAGCTAAGCAGATTTGTTAATCAAACAGGAGAGGCAGTAAACTTTCTTACCAAAATAATAACAAGAGAAGGAATGGCTATCATATTTTAAGCGATACTTCAATAAAGGGTTTTATATCATATTCCTTGTGGGTACTATATATTTTGTAGTGCCTTGGATGGGGATAACCAGTTTCTCTTTATACTACATTGAAGCTCAAAATTGGGGCGAAACAATATCAATAGAAACACAATTAAGGTACTTTAAGAACAAGTAACAACAAGGAAGTACGTATTAAATAGCTTTCATTAAAGTGATTAAATAATGTATTTTTAGGAGTGAAAGTGATATTTAGCCACTTAAATCACATTTCTTTTTATATTTATTTCCTTGTGATGTGACTGAGCTGTCTTCCTGTTGGGCCAAATAATAATTTCTTATAACATACTGTATATTTGCAAGTTTCAAACACAATTTCCAATTTTTGAAACACTTTCTTAGTAATGGCAGAGAATCTAAAACACCTAAGATGTTTGCAGTTTAATGCAGTCGAAGTTCTGTGACCTGCAAATGCAAAAACCGCATTTCCACAGAGCTAAACTGGACTGAACAGCATCAGTTTCCCATGAAGACTGTTGCTCTCACCGCTGGGGTTTGGTCCGATGTCCAGCACGGCGGGCTGCGAGAGGATTTGTCGCAGTTTGTCCTGATGAGAGAGCAGCGCCCGGCCGGCCTTCAGGATGTAGAGCCTCAGCTGCTGGCAGCGCAGCAGGTGGACGTCCACCTGGTCGGCTGGAACACAACAAGTCTGGATAAATACACTGGAGTACACATTAAACACCAATTAAAAGCAAGAACAAACTGTCATGCATCAGGGTATATGCAGGAATCCTGAAGTCAAATGTAATACCTTTTAAGACCTTTTTTAAGACCCTTTCCATACATTTTAAGACCTCATCTCCACTTCGAGTTTTAAAGCAGTGATAGCGCGCTACACACCTACGCAATGATTACATTCAGGCAAACTGTAGAATACAACCTCTTTGGACAATTGATATACTTATTGAAAACAAGCTACAAAATGTAATAACTCGGAAAATGCCGTTTAATACTTTTTAATAGCCTTAATTTTCGCTATCAACTTTTAATACTTTTTAAGACCCCGCGGACACCCTGGTTTAGTAATTGATCTAAATGTGGTTACTCGAGATCGGCAATGGTCCTTTTGGTTGGTTTTGGATTGCTAAATTAAATAATAATGTAAATTGTCATTCAAATTCGATTGTTAATGGGTGAATAAACACATTACTACTGTTAGTACATTTTCTAACCCTAATAAAAATACATTCTTAGTCTAGTTTCGAATTTAAGCACATTTTTAATAATCATCTTCTGGTGATTTTACAGCTTTAAAATAATAAAACACAAGCAATACATTTAAAGCTAGGTAAATACACATTTATTTATTGGATTGTGAATATTTAAATTAATATTTGAAACATTGAAAAATCGATTAAATATACCATATCTCCTTAATTCAAACTCCCCTCTAAAAAGTTAAAGAGTTAATTATTTAATATGATATGTATGAGTCACATGTGGGATCATAGAGTGTCTCTGAGGTTTTTGTACCTGTGAGGCCGCGGCTCAGCGACTTCTTCATGCGTTGTTTCTCCAGCTTGCTTCCTGCCAGGCTGACCAGCTGAGCCCAGACTGCCAGCATGGGCTCCGTGAAGGGGAGGTTCTGCACACTGAAGCAAACTGCAGGCAGCTGAGGAAACACCACAACATTAAATCAGTTAATTATTGGTCTATTTAAAGGTCCCCTATTATACTGTTTTTCATCAATATATCACAGGTCTCAGATACATCCAGAACATGTCTCTGATTGGCTGAAACACCAAACAGATCATTGCAGCATCCCATAATCCCCTCTGTTTCAGCCCTGTTTCAAAAGTGCTGATTCTCTGTCTGTTACTTTAGATGAAAATAAGGAGCCCCTCCCCACGCCCCTCTGAGAGATATTTGGTTAAAAATAACACAATGGTGATCTAGGAGGTGATTCAGGTGATAAGGTGGGGGGGGGGGGGGGGGTTACCTTGGTTGCTGATTGGCTAATGGTGACACAAGCCAAAAAATCGTTATGACATCATAAAGTGGCCAAAATCTGATCAGCTCATTTTCAGACAGGTTTTTATATAAATGGATCAGGACAAAAAGTGAGAGAATCTTTGTTCCTGAAACGTTCAGAGTCTCTTTACACAGAGGGGACACATGTTGATGTAGAAGAGACATGAACAAGGGGATTTTGCATAATAGGTGACCTTTAACTCATAGTATAAGTAGAGCAGGAAGTCACTGCCGTACCGGTTTGAGATGGCTGAGCAGGCACACCCTGCAGGTCCTCATCTCGTAAAACTGTACGGTGATGCGTCCTTTTGGGGTGATGCGAGTGACCGTTCCCTCTCCGTACTCCTCGTGGACGACCTGTCCTCCGAGCCGGAGGCGCCCGTCGATCCCTCCGATGACCGCCATCACCGCCATCAGACAGCCGACACGAGGACCGTCAGGATCAGGGAAGAACTCCTCCAGGAAACACTGGAACAGAGAGGATGTTAACTTTCACTGATTTGAACAACAATTCTAACACACAATTGAGTAATGCAGTGATGACGTATTTTGTAGTCCGAGCTTGAAGGCAACCTCTCCCTGGGTCATGTGATTTCTCCAATGGATTTTGGATTAAATTGATACTTTCACGTTTAGTTCAGCAGGATAACCTCCACATATTAACACCCCTTTGTGATTTTTGAAGTAAAATGCTAACATTAGCCTATAAATTACCTACAGCACTGTCACATGACTTCACGTCACCACCGCTAAGCTAAAGGAGGATAATGTAGGGTGTGATGACGTTAAGTTAGGGGTATTTACTGTCAGTAAATACCCCTAAATTGTATGTGTTGGACAAACATCTCTTTAGACTTCCATATAAGGGAACAGGAAGGGCTAAAATGCTGACTCCTTCACAGGTTTAGGACTCATTCCTGCACCACACTTTCCATAACACTGCACTTACAGCTTCAGACTGGCAGCCAGCGATGACGTCTCCGATGGAGCTCAGCTGGGCGTTGATGTAGTCGTTGATCATGCCGTTCCACTGGCCGAGGTAGTGCAGCGCTCTCAGGACAGAAACGATCTCCTCCGCCAGGGTGCTGCTGTGAGTGGCTGTCAGAGACGCCTGGGGGCGGGACTTCCTCCTTCGCAGGGAACCCTCTGAGGAGAGGAAGCAGCAATATAAAAATCCAAGATAAACAACAGCAGATTTGAGTTGAAAGGTATCTTTAAGGCCTTACCTCTGAGGAGCGGCAGGTCTGAGGAGCAGGTGCTCAGGAGGATTCCTAAGAAGTTGAACAGTTTCTCCACCAGGAACTTCATGTCATGGGTTCGCTCCGTCTTGTCCCACGAGGGCAACACTGCCGCCAGGAGACGTAGCGCCAAGATCTGGAAACACAAGACAAGTAGCACCGTCACAAAGGTGGTTTCCATTCTTTAATGTTTGGCAAATAACAAGTAACTTAACTAATAATTGTTTTTTGCCTTTACTTCCAGTCTACAGCCGTATCATTTAGCTGTAAATGGTCAATTACCTGTGTTTATATAGCACTTTTCCAGTCTTTGGGACCCCTTAAAGTGCTTTTACTTATACAATTTGAATGGAAGACATCTATCTACTTCCTGAGTCACAGCTCAAATTATAGGATTTGAATTCAATTAAACTCAATTATAATTGTTTTAAATAATATTATTCACTATTTTAAAAAGCATTACGGTGTTTTAAAATAAATACAATGATGTTATGTTATTTAATATACACTTCCTACTATTTACTAATGTTATTACCGGGTGCTACTCTACTGTTCTACCGTCCTGAATGATGTCTGAGGATCTATCTCGAGAATAACTTGAAGAAACAAAGGCGTAGCCCATCTGACTCATGGTGATGTTCCCACCTGTCTCTGCAGAGTGACGCCGTTGAAGGACTGGTGTCCCTCCACGATGCGGATGAGCAGGCCGATCCAGGCAGAGGTGCTGAGCGTGCTGCACATCTGGGGCATCAGAGCGATGCTGCGGATGAAGCCCAGCGTGGACCAGCTGCGGTGCTGCTCCCGGGACACCAGCCTGTGGGAGTGACACCCTGACAGAAGAGAGAGATTTTTCTAATTGACCGCGACCCAGCTCATTTATAAAGACAAAAATGCTCTTATAGACAATCTTTGGGAGCGTTTCTGGACGCACGTAAAGGCCGACAGAGACTCTATTTAATTTGAATGTTTACCAAGAATTGCACACTTTTAATTTTCCATTGCTGATATACCTAATTTTCTATTTTGTGATTATTATTATTTTACTTTTCCCATGCCATGTCTTTTAATGTCAATGCCAGGACCACGGGGGAGAGGGATTTGTTTATGCAGTGTACCGCCAATGTGTCTTTGTTCTGAATGGAAAATTCAGAACAAATTACATAAACAAAAATGCTGTTTATGAGCATGTTGGTTCAGCTACCTGACTTGTCGTTAGCTCCGCTCTCCACCAGCATACGGAGCAGCCCACAGAGGGTCCGCGTGGCGTCGTTCTGCAGGACCTCTGCATGGATCCCCGCCGTCAGAGAGAGGGTCTTCAGCAGGTTCACCGTGCTGTTCAGCATCATGGCCGTCGGGTGGCTGCTCTTCTCCATCAACTCCACTTCTGTAGAGAAAAATGTCGTTGTTAAAACTAGAGATGCCCCGATTACAAATGACTTAGCCTTTTAACAATACTGATGTTTTTCTGTTATTCATTTCCGTTCTGTGGGGAAAAAAAAAGACACCTTATTATAAAATATATGAAGTATTCAGGTAGGGCTGTCAAGGTAACGCGTTAATAACATTTTACCACCACTAATTATTTTAACGTGCGATTAACGCATGTGTATTTGTCCTCGGCCCGCCCCGTAGTTTCAGAGCCCAAAGGCTTGACGTTGTTGTTGTTGTTGTTAGTTGGATGGTGGGAGATCCTAGCGAGAGATATGGATACAAAAAAAGGTGTTTTAAACAGCAAGCCAAGCACACAGCTGATGCTGACAGCCCCGCTCCTGCCGCTCGCTTGCGGCAGACCACGCTTGAAAGTTTGCCGGGGAGATGCCTGGACACTTCTACGAGCAGCAAGCTTTCAACAGCGATAGCTAAATGGGTGGCTACAGCTTAACATTGTGGAGGACGAGGGGCTGCGTTAGATCATTCGGATCGCATCCAACGTGTCGACTGCACATCACAGCGCATTATTTTGTCAACGTCATGTTCAGGTGTATATCAGTATGTAGTGTCTCTACTGTGACATGTCTCCATGTTTAGTGTTCAAAAAGCTCTTTATTTGTCTCATACTGCCTGTGCTGCAGCACCTCTTTTCACCCTCTGTCTGAAACCAGAGCCCAGTCTGCTCTGATTGGTTAGCGAGATGTCACTATGTTCCCTGTTGCCTGTATCTGTGGTGATGACTGAGGGATCATGTGAGCTGACCTGTGTCGTCCTCTGTGTCCGAGTCCTCCGTCGGGGGCTGAGCCGCTGGGGGGGGCTCTGCCAGCTTCAGGTCGTATTTGCCCTCTTTGCCCATCCTGTAGGAGTTGGTGCTGCTCGTGTCCCACTGGACTCGGATCCAGCCGTCCTCTCCGAGCTCCCCGATGACCCGACCCAGACCTGGAGCCGGACCGTCCTGAAAACAGCAGAGGGTTAAACACTGAGTGTTTAAGTCAGTTTACTTCAGAGCTTCAGATACCAAAATGTTGGTATACTGCCCAGCTTTATGTAAAACAAATTCAGCTACCTGATCTCCCCATTTCCAGTCCACCCCCCTCATGACCCTGGTGCCAATCTTCATCATGGCAGCCAGCTCAGGGCCCGAGGCAGGGAGGGGGGTCGGGGCCAACTCCTTCCTGGACTCCTCCAAGACTGTGGCTGATCCTCCGTGAGCACAAACACTCAGATCCTCCTCATTGCTGTCTGTGCTGGGCCCTGCAGACAGGACAACAAGAGACATCACACACATGCATCAGGGTCTACACAAATACATCATCACGGCTCCTCTCTACTCTGTGGATGTATTTTGACCCACCTATGAGCCGGAGTATGCTCTGTGTGAGGGCCAGTAGGCCAGAGTTGAGTAAGAGGCTGAGGCTGTTGGAGCCGTGTTTCAGGGACAGCATGTGGATCATAGCCAGGAGGAAGCGGGCCTGAGGAATGGTGCCGAGACTCGGGCCTGCCGGGTTCTCGTTGGTGATGGTCTGCAGGGGGACAGGCTGCACTCCTGGGAACAAACACAGGAGAACAACAGGTTAGATAACAGCTCGGAATAATCTGATTAATATATAAACAGCAGTGTCACACACACACACACACACACACACACTTAATTACCTGGAAGATGCTGCCACTCACCGAGCTCTTTGAAGCGGCCGCCGGCCTCCAGCAGGACGTTGCGGACGTTGTGGATGGCCCAGGAATACAGCTTTCCGAAGGTGACCTCCAGAAGCATGCGGTTGAAGGGGGGGATCAGATCCACGTCCTTCAGGCAGTCAGACAGCGGCTCTCTGAAGAGGAGAGGGAAACGTTAGATGGCTTAATAACTACAATGATCTATTCTTGGTGTTATTCCGCCTTATCTACGGATTTATATCTGTCAAACGTCCTGTTTTTTTTACACTGTCCAAGACCAGGAATTTGTCAAAAGCAGTATTATTACCCAATGTTGGTCCCCTCTGGTATGACCCTCTGCCAGCCGCAGAACATGGCGTACTGCACAGAGGGCAGCAGGAAGTCTCTGGAGGCTAACTTCAGCATGGTGTCGATGCCCTCCAGCCTCACCTCCGCCCTCTCCAGCTGCAACAAAACAGAGTTAACACATTTCAATGATATACATCAAACATGTTGTCTACTTTATATCAACCCGTGGTTTACAATCACCTGTTTGAGGAGACACTTCCTCATCTTCTCCACGTCCAGCGGCTCCTCTTTTAGTGCAAACTCCACGATGGTGGCCATGAGGCTGGACTGAGAGAAGATGCCCTGGACGCTGTGCTTCAGCCACCGGTACTTCTGCGCGTTGGCCACAGTGGTGAGCAGCGGGTGCCACTTGTCCTGCTGTAAAGTATAAAATGATACAGGAATATGAACCATGGCTAAAAGCTAATATATTCTTGGGCTTGAACCTTCACCCGGGAAGAAATTGTTATAGTAGCCGGGTTTACAATGAGAATGAATGGCTTGTTTCCATCCATACTCTATTATGTGCTTCTTAGGACAATGGAGATAAGCAGAAGTAATGATAACACATTATATCTCTGCAAAACAACAGGGCTCAACAAGATGATTACAAGGTGGAAAAATATATATTTGTGTTAGTTTTTATGTTTCAATGTGAGGAAGGTTACATCAGATGTGTGTTGAGCGATGAGTAGAATATTTTACATCTCTTAGGCTAAGCCAAAGCTTTAGTGAAAGGAAAATAGATACTTTTATCAAAACACCAATTCTTACACCGAAAGCCAACTTTCAAACTTTTTGGCAGAATGTCTGTCATGTCATAAATGTGCGTTCATATAAAAATAAATGCACAAAAAAAACAGGTGAATTGAAAGGCACCCACTGTGTCCCAGGCAATAAGGTAATCGGTTATTCTCATTATCTGACAGGAGATCAACTGGATATGATTCAATACCAGTCTACATCTCCTCGTTTTTAGATCCTGAAGCAAAAATTGACTAAAGAAGTCTGTAGCGAACTTATAAATGTTTTAACTTGCAAACTGTTCCAATAAATAACCCTCATTAATGAAAGAACCTTGGTTGTTTTGCTGGTGGGCGACTTCCTGTCGGCAGGCGTGGGGCTGATGTGGACGTTCAGTTCTTCTTCGTTGGTCCCTTCGTTCTCCAGCTTTGGCTCTTCTATGTCAGCAGACTCTGACTTTTTAGGCACTGAAAAATAAAAACATTTACAATTAGAAATAAAAGAAGTAATAATTATTATGATTTATTTTATTCAGCACTTTTCAACAGTACACTACACTCCACATAGTGCTCTTTTGTTGTCTCAGTACTTGTACAATGAAAATAAATGATATATAAAAACTAGGGCTGTCAGTCGATTAAAATATTTAATCATGTTGTATCTGTTCTAAATGTACCTTAGAGGAATATTTTTCAAGTTTGTAATACTGTTATCAACATATGAGTGGACAAATATGCTTTATGCAAATGTTTGTTTATTATTATTGGAACAATGACAAATATTCTCCTGAATATTTTCAACACAACAACCTCTCTCTCTCTCCTACACTCTCTCCCAACCCTGTGTACTTCTCTGCACTGAGCCAGTTGCTCAAACAGACAAGCCTGTTTCCAGTTGTCGGCGAAATGCCGCTCCTCTGTCTTCATAACAGTCAAAGCATGAGACTGAAGTTCCCACTGTGGGTCAAAATAATGCGCTGTGATGTGCAGTCGACACGTTGGATGCGATCCGAATGATCCTTTGGGCTCTGAAACTACGGGGCGGGCTGAGGACAAATACAATTCGTTAATCGCACGTTAAAATAATTAGTGGCGTTAAATTGCGCTACCGCGTTATTAAGGTTTATGTCAAAGTATTGAATTTAAAGTGAATTACACCATTATTTTTTTTTTTTATTATGCAAAGGAACAATATATGGGGTAAACGTAAACAAACCTTAAGTAAAGACAACACAAAATAATCAAACTATTGTATATAAAAGTAGAAAATAATAAAATGGTTTGATTTTATAAAAATAATATCTATCACTATGGTCTCTTTCTGTAAATAGCCCACCTCTCTTTTTCCTGCGGTCCCGGATGAGTTTCTGGGTGATCCTCCTCCAGCGCGGCTGCGAGCTCAGCAGCTTCAGTTTGGAGACGATGGACAGGTCTTTACTGACGGCCGGACGCAGCTCGTTGAACAGGAAGCGCAGGCGCTCGATGACGGGGGCGCACACCTCCTTATAGGAGCGACCTTGTTCCTGATGGGTCTGAAATAAAGAAAAAAAACATAAAAACTCAATTTCTCTTTGTGTCTACTGAGAGGTGCAGTGATTACGTATTTTGTATCTGCCACGTTCCCTCAAAAAAATAGCCAATAGGATTTTTCCATTCAACTTTTTCAGCACTTTATGATTTTGATCAAAAAAAAGTATTTATACAAATTTTGAAAAATACAATGTACAATTATAACCAATACAACAAATCAGGAAAAATACAAAAATAACATAAAAAATAATAACAATCAGACAAGAGGACAAAACTAAGGATAAAATAAATAAAGAAACCCTCCGACCCAGCACCTTATGATTTTTGAAGTAAAAAGCTAACATTAGGCTATAAAGGAACTACAGCACGGTCACATGACTTCACGTCACCACCGCTAAGCTAAAGGTGGCTAATGTTGGGCTATAAAGGAACTACAGCACGGTCACATGACTTCACGTCACCACCGCTAAGCTAAAGGTGGCTAATGTTGGGCTATAAAGGAACTACAGCACGGTCACATGACTTCACGTCACCACCGCTAAGCTAAAGGTGGCTAATGTTGGGCTATAAAGGAACTACAGCACAGTCACATGACTTCACGTCACCACCGCTAAGCTAAAGGTGGCTAATGTTGGGCTATAAAGGAACTACAACACGGTCACATGACTTCACGTCACCACCGCTAAGCTAAAGGTGGCTAATGTTAGGCTATAAAGGAACTACAGCATGGTCACATGACTTCACGTCACCACCGCTAAGCTAAAGGCGGCTAATGTTGGGCGTGATGACATTTAGTTGTCTCATTTAGACACTTGTTAGTAACTGCGGTTTTTAAGTTCACCAGTGGGGTACTTACTGACTTATTTCAGGATAACAACCAAAAACACATTCAGTAAACCATTGACTTCCAGACGTGGGAACAGGAAGTGCTGAAATACTGTCAGGATTAAGGTCTCATTCCTGCGGCTATTTTAAAAGGTATTGTGTTTTGTTGTCATGATATCTCTCTGTATAGTTACACAAAAATACAAGCATTATTCCTACCTTGATTAAGGAGCACTTTGCCTGGTAGACCATGCGGCAGACATTGATCACAGATTTGGGGAGGGACCTCTGCTTCCCCTGGTCCACTCTCAAGGCACACTGACTGACGAGTGAGAGAGCAATGTGACCTGAGACAGGAGGAGATAACATTCAATTCATGTATTAAAAAAAGGGTGCAAAACGTTTAATTTTTACAATTCCAATTTTTTGTTTGAGCGTACCGAGGTCTTGGTGTTTGAGCAGGCAGCAGAGCAGCAGGCGGCCCACCTCCTCGACAGGGTGCTCGGGGGGGAAGGTGATGGGGGTGATGAGATGGTACTGCTTACAGCAACGCTCTATTTGGCATAGGAAGTCCTACAATGGGAAAATAAATTAGGCACAATTTTCGGACACTAAAGCATTGACAAGCTGCTGTTCCAGCATCCGGGCGAAAATTTACGAGAACAGCTTTGGTGATACATTTGCATTATTTAAACACATTTTTTAAGGAGTTAAGGTTGGCAGAATTATATAAAAAACTGTTAACTTTGACAGCCCTAGTTGAAAAGTATAAACCTGTTTCAAATGTAAACTGCAAATTCTTTATGTGCTGAATAAATCTCTAGAGAATGCTCATTAAATCAGAAAATTATTTGCATATCACATATGTTTACATCTTGAAATGTCACAGAATGAAACCTAAATCTGGAAAATCATAACAGAATTAGCTGTTTATCAGGATATTGTGGTATTGCATGTAAACGTAGCAGCTGTTGTTGAGGCTGTACCTTGACAGTGTGGTCCTGAGTGTTGTTGTCAGCGATGGCCTGCAGGAAGGGCTGAGCGTGGTCACTCAGGGTGATTCTGCGGGAGTACATCTTGGCTTTGTCCGGGGTGGTCGTCCCCAGGGAGCTGCAGTGGTCCTCATCCTTCTCCTCGTTGTAGTTGTAGTGGATCTGACTGGTCTGCAGCCCCCCCGAGAATATGGACGACTGGAGCCATTCTGTGCAGAGGGAGAAAAGTGGATGTTTACATTAAAATGCAGAGCTTGAGATCTTCATTTTCAGACTAAGTTGGGTGGAGAAAGATTTGTTCTTGACATTTTATGTGTGAACAATCTGTGAGTGAATGTTAATGTACATAACTAGTCGCTGGTTATTTAAAGAAGTAATTAAGTAGGAAAGCAGATTGCATGCTTACTTACACATGCTTGTCTCTATATTAAATATTTTAGCTTATTTTTTATTACCTTTTATCTGCATTATCACTGTTGCTGTAACGCTGTACATTTTCCCTCTTCAGGACTAATAAATGGATTCTGATTCTGACATTTACACACAGATTGTCGATTTTCTAAAACAAATAATATTGAGACAATTATATCTCCATGAAGTTGCTTTAAATTAATTTGACGTACTGGCACATTCGATCTCCATGGGGGACAGGGGGGTGCTCTTGGCCAGGTAGGAGGCGTGGAGGCCGAGCAGCAGACCCAGGTTCCTCTCGGTGTCGATGAGGGGGGAGGAGAGGCTGCTGAGGTCCGGGGTGGTGACCGTCTCCTGGTTAGGCTGCAGACGATAAAACATCCAAAAGTTAAACACTAGAAATACAGTGGCCGTTTGTACAATGCAACAAGTTCCTTCGCTATTAAGTCTGCAAGGATATATTAGTTCTGACACGTGTTCATGGATGTATAAAGAAAACTGCGTCCAGCGTCAATGGCAAGGCCTCGTTCATTCAAGAAAGTTGCTCAGTGAGTAAAAAAAATGGACTATGTAAGTATTTGTACTGGGTAGATGATTTTGCAAAAAAACAATTGTACGCTGATTAACAGATGTCTCTTCTCAAATGTAAGTCAATGGGAAAGGTCCTTTAGGGCCCAATGAAGTCAAATGGTAGTTGTAGTACCGCCATTTGGCCACTATGAACATTTGTTTCAACGGCAAGCGCCCTTCCTCGGGGTTGCTTGTATTCCATAATCAATTCACATAGAGAGGCGAAGTCCCTCCCTTTCCGGGGGACCTCCATGGGTATTTCTGAAAAATTATGTATTGAAGTCAATGGCGAGAGAAAGATTATCTTTCGATCAAAAGAAATTGTTACATGGTTAAAAACGTGCAGGATTCCAGCTTCTAAGTAGCGTACCGTAGTTTAACAAAGTATGTTTTTGCCACTGAAGGCTGCATTAAGGGACTATCACTTTTTGAAAATAATAACATGTAGCACCTTACAACAGAAACACAACCTAAGCACAGTCCACCTATATCAATAAATACAAAAACAGATGGTATTCATCTAAATATTCAACAACTATGTGACATGTCATGCGAACATTTTCTGAAATATTAAGTGTTTAGAGAAACCAATTATGAATGTAGAAATGAGACAGAAAGTGTGTGTTTGGAAGGCTTGTACCTCCATATACTGTCCCACACAGAAGGCCTGCATGGACTCTCTGGTGTCTTCAAACTGCAGCGCCGCCTCCAGGGCGACCACCGGGTCCTCTCCTGCAAACTGGGCTGTGAGGGGAGACGACTTGTTACAAGGGCAGAGAGCAAACTTAAATTTAATGTGGCGTCAGTCAATATTATTCTAAACTTGAGTTCAAAGTAATTATGTTTATTCTGACTTATAAGGTCACTATAGGGAAGCTTAAGGCAAGTGGGCACAAAACAATCTTGTGATGCATTTTATAAGTCTGATCTGAATATTTTGTTGTTGTTTATGAATTCGAAACAAGGACACAAAGGTTTTACTAGTTTACTCTTTTTTGTTGTTGTAAATAACAGGTGAAAAAAATAGTTTTTGTTGTTTGTTGTTGTAATACACATTTTGGACACAAGAGGGGGAACATTTTCACGTGGCAAATGTGTTTTTTCTAGAGGTGCACAATAACTTATTTGGATTATTTTGACTGATATTGCAATTGTGATTATGACACAATATTGAAAAGACTGATCATAATTCTCCTTTTTATGGAAAAAGTGATCATGGTTTGAGGATTTTTTACCAACAAGTAGGTTTTGTAAAGCCGGTAAATATGATTTACAGCCTGGGATATTTCTGCAGCTCTCCAATACTTAAATCAAAATTGTATTTAAAAATATATTTAGCCTTTAACAAATATTGTGCTACTGAGATTTGTATATTGCTCTAGTCCAATGGCGCCTTTCCACTACACGGCCTCGCTCGGCCTCGCTCGGTATGGCTAGGCCTCGTTAGGACTGGCTCACTTTATGGCGCATTTCCATTACAGTTTAGGAACTGGGGCAGTATCTATAGTAACGCAGTGTAGGCGGAGCCGTGACGTGATCTTCAATGAGAACCCCAGAAAAACAACACAGCTGTTAGCTGTTAGCACTCAGAGCTCACAGCTCCTTATATATGTTCAGAAACTAGACAACAGTTAAACAAGTACAAACCACAGACTGCCTGTGTCATGGCGAATACAGTCGCTGCTTTATTTATGTCTGTATAGGCCGTTGTTGTGAGTGTGGACGGTCGGAGCATATACTGCGTTAGCTTAGCCAATCTCCATCTAGAAAACACGCATTTTAAAAGGTTTTTCGCCTGCCGTCTGTCTGCAGACTTGACAAAGCATTAATTCATGGTTTTTACTAACCGGTATCAGTATGTTGTTACTTCGGCATCATTTTGAAACGTGTATTACAATTAAATCACGGTCAAATATGTCCATCTTGTTGTAGTTCTAGCCCTCTTGCCAGCGCTCCTCTCTCTAGTTTAGCATACTCAGCCTGACTCAGCCTCGTTGTCTCTGGCCCTAGACCCACGATTTTATGAGGCCAGAAAAACTGTGAATTAGGACCCGCCGGCCGGTACTAGGCCAAGTGGAAACGCAACCAAAGACAGGCCGCTGACGTCACAGCCCTCTTAAACCGTGCTCCGCGCTGTAGTGGAAACGCGCCATTAGTTGCGATTTTGACAACATTTTTATTAATTGTGTAGCCCTACTTTTTCCCCCCACTTGGTCATTAACACAGGAGATAAGAAATATTTAGATCAGTCTGTGATGCAAGAACAAATTCAGACTGACACTAAAGTACTATCGTATCGTACTTAAAAAAACACATCAACATAAATGTGTTTCTCACTGGCTCCTCTGGGCTTCCGTACACATATGAACAATATCATTTCAGCCTTACCCAGGATACTGTTTCCTGCGAGCGACTGGGACTGCGCCTGGAAGTCTTTGATGTCGTACACCTTTCCCTCGATGACGGTCCAGAAGCCTCCATCTTTGTTGTGGTTCTCCAGGTCGGCTTTACGGATGAGGGAAACCTCCTCGTTGTTTTTGGAGCTCTGTCCTGTGAAGAAGGATCCTGCCACAGCAGAAAGAGAGCTAGTTACATTCTACACCGGCTGCAGCTCAGATTTACCACATTCAGAGATACATGGAGAAACTTCCCAAAAAACCCAATTTCTCTCCGGGATAAATAAAGTATGCTTTAACTCTTAACACAAAAACACTTCCCTCAGATTTAGACCTCTGATAAATAAATAAAAAACGGAATAAACCCTATTTGCAGACAAACCAAAATACATGTAGGCCTGTCTGGCTTATAACATTAACAGTCTATTTTTCAATACACTTAAACTTGACGTCATAGTTAAAATGTGTCGGCCTTCAACAGATTTTCCAGTTCAAATACCGGTAAAAATACAGGCTAACGGACATTAATATAATTAATATTATACCCATAATGCCGGGCCACGCCAGGTCCTCGTTGTCGTCCCTCTCGTGCCCCGGGGCGAGGTGGTTGAAGCGGTCGATGTGCTCCAGGAGTCCGGCCAGCAGAGGGATGGATCCGGTCTCCTGCATCAGACCGGCATCGATGGTGAGGAGCAGCACGATGGACACCACCAGCTCAGGCAGCAGCACGCCTGTCAGAGGAAACACCCGTTATTCTTTAAATGCATAAACATTTCAAGTTTTAGGACTCATTCCTGCACAACCCTGCAAACTCAAAACCCATCTCTTCGCATCTGTCTTCCTTGTAAACTAATTTCCATCACCTAGTTTCCGTTCAACATCACCATCACTTCAGTCACATGCTTTTATCACATGGCAATACTTATGTTGATGTATAATGTTGTATAATGTATACCGATCACCGATCCGATCGAGTGGGCGGGGCCTATGGGGATCTTCCATTTAAAGTGATGTTTAAAACTCAGTTAATGGGGCTCATTCACTGGCGCTTCCACAAACAACAACAACCAACATAATTATTACATTCAAATGAAGTACATTATTCAAGTTTACATTAACTTTGGATAATAACACGGGAGAAATGAGCTGAAGCGCTCTCTTTTCCTCTCTCTCTCTCTCCTGACAGCCCGTCAGTATCTCATGCAGCTCACTGATCCAGTAATGAGTGACCCGACAGTGAAGAATAAATATATGTATAACTAGTTTAGCTTGTTCCAGAGGTAGATCAAATAGCTAAGTGTGTTGGGTCTAACTCTTAGTGTGTGTTTTGCTCCGCTCACCGGTCCGTCACAGCGGGTGGAGCTGCAGGATTTCTGCTTCACACACCGCTATTTTACTGTCTTTTTCAGTTACCTTAAAATACTGCCGACCGGTAAAAGCCATTTTGGCGAGCTTGTTTTGCCGCGCACAGAGAAAAGTGTCATGTATTTTACGTCATCATTTTACGTCATGCGATCGGCTCTCGGGATCGGCATTTTTAGAGAGCACCGATCGATCGGCAGAGAGTGAGTATCGGCCGATATCGATCGGAGCATCCCTAATAATGTTTTTCTAATTTTTATGCTATGACGTTTGTATTTTGATTTTGTCTTTGCTTTTGTTTGCTTTGTACAGCCCTTTGAGGCATTTCTTGTGATTTGGGGTATAATACATTTTGATTTGATTTGAACCCAATAAAGCCCCACTGATATGAATTGAAATGATTACCAGTTAGATCTCCTTCAATAACTCGAGAGACTTCAGCAAAGTGGCGGCGTCCTGTGGAGGCGATACTGGTGGCCACGGGGAGGATGTCTCCGATGTGAGTACACAGCAGCGCAATGTACTTCTTCAACAAGGAACCAACACCCAGAAGCTCAGGATCTGCAGAAAAACAACAACAGAGATGAAACACTTTAGGTTCATAGCTGTGTATTAAACTCACTGAGCTGTACAGTGAGTCCAGGCCATTGTACTTTAATTGACTGTTTACATTCCTGCTACTTTATACACCTCATTTACTACAATTCAGAGAAAAAGTTGTACTTTTCACTCCACTCCATTTGTCTAAAAGCTGTAAATATATTTCAGATCACAGTTTTTTTATCCCTTTCCTGAACATGAATGACTTTAGAAAAGCATGTAGGTTGCAGCACGTGACTCACTGTATCCGTTGAGGTTCTCGGTGCCGTTGACCCCGAGGTACAGCTTGCTGACCAGCAGCCTCTGGAAGCGCAGCAGCAGGTCCAGAGAGGCGGAGCGCTCCTTACTCACCTGCTCCGCCTCCAGGTAGTTAGAGATCCGCCGAGCGACGTCCTTCAGCCTGGCGATGGTCTGAGAGGCGATGTTCCTGCAGAAGTCAAGACAGATTATTTTTATTTTATCTGTTAAAGTTTAATATTACAAATCACACATTTAATTAAAGTGGACCTATCATGCTATATTTGAATAATATAGTGTAGGACCATACCTATATAAGGCATATTTATACTTTTTTTTTTTCAAAATACCAAACAGATCATGCATTTTAGCCATGCCTCATTTTGCTCAATTTGACAATTTTTAGCTCTGTTTTAGCAAGGGCAGATTCTGTGAGAACAGCACCATCTACAGGCCTGGCATATGTACTACAGCGTCTCCAGCGCTTCCGAGCGGCAATGGCCGTGGCTGTCTCCTCCTGATTGGTGGAGTTGGTCCAATAGCCGTAGCGCCACTGTCCTGACGTCAGGACAGTGTTCAAATCTGGATCAGTTTTTGATCAGATCCGTTGCAGCCCCTTTTTTAGAGATTTGGGTATGGAGGAAAATAGAGAGGGTTGTATTTTCTGACACTTGGTGAGTTCCCTGGAACACCGGGGACACATATTCATGTATAAAAGACGTACAAAAGTGCATTTTGCATGATAGGTCCCCTTTAAGTATTCATGCCAACTCTAAACAACATGAAAGTAAAAACTAAAAGAAACGGAGTATGAATCCCACTCCCTGGAGGAAATTCATTCTGTGAATGTGCTTGCAGAAAACAAGTGTTCACTCTAGCAGATGATTGTATATTTTGGGGAGATGGCAGGTGTGGAGGAAATTCTAATTCCCTTAATAGAAACTGATTAATGATTCATGGACAAAGTTTGTCTTTTGTTATATTTAATAAAGTAATAAAGAAAGTCTATATACAATTGAAATCGATCTAAAATGCAGGTACCGGGCAACTTCATCCTCAAAGGATAAAATGGCAATTTAGCCGAGTAAAAGGCAATCAGAGTAAAACATAATCTATATACATGATTTAACTGATTATATACAAGACAGCAGGTACCTCAGAAGCTGCTGCACCAGCTGCACCAGCGGCAGGCTCTGCTTCCCCGCGGACTCGTAGATGCCCGTGTTGATGAGGTCTTTGTCCAGCATGGCGCGGCACCGCTGCATGGTGGACGCGTTGGCCTCCTGCTCATCGATCTCCTTCTCCTTCTGAGCCTCCTTCTTGGCCTCAATGTCCTGTCAAAAGATGAAAAAATACAGCGTTATTCCTGTTTCCTGTACAGGGATGTAGAATAAGGGAATTTATATTATTTTCATTAATGCAGGATTCTATTAATACTTTAAGTTTGTCTAACAAAGTTTCAAATTGTCACATTAAAATCATTAAAGGTAGGGTAGGTAAGAATGGAGAAACCAGCTCGAGTGCGCTAGAATTTGAAAGTACGCAGCCGAAAAAAATCTGCCCCTTCCTTCAGACTTCCTTACAGAGCCCCTCCTCCAACACACACGAACGCGCACATGACCAATGAGGGCACGAGATAAGTTTGTGCACAGATGGAAGGCTGACAGGCAGGTAGGCCATCCAGTTATTTTAGCCGGGCCGGCTCAGATGATTGGTCGTGCTTTTTACAGTACTACGGCTTCCACAGATGAAATATTTGTATATATTTTTTGTCAAAGCATTTAATGTATTCATTGCTATCGGGATGTTAAGAGCATTCCATGGGATATAACAAAAAGTGTTTCTGAAGTGAATTACCTACCCTACCTTTAAGTTTAGGCCAGACTGTCAAATATTAGGTTTTAACTATAAGATTAACAAACTATTTATGGGATAAAAGTTAATTATGTGGGCAAAAAGCTGTAAAATGCCTGAAAAATGTGTCGTAAATATCAAAACATGTATTCAAAAAGTTATAAGAAATCTAATAAATGTCAGAAACTAAAGGAAAGGGGTAAAAAACGTCAGAATACATATATAACAATTTTTCATCTTAAAAACATCCAAAAAATGTAAAAAATAAATCAAATGTCAAAAATGGGAGAAATCTCGAATAAACTATTTATTTCTGTATTTGTTTTTTAATTTTCTAATTTAAAAAATGTTTTATTGACTTTTGCCTTTGGTGCATTTACAGCAATCGCTATCAATGTGCTCTCTTCATGTTAGATAAACTTATCAATAAATAAAAATAATACATTTACCTACTAAAAAACGAATTCAAGGTTAATCTCAGTCCTAAAGAAATGTCTATCTACATGTATTTGTACAAACACACAAGGCATATTCTTCTAGAATATAATGACATGTTATCAGAGTGATGCATTAACCACTGACCTGTATCTCTGCAGTGATGGCAGCGTTCAGTGCAGACTCCAAGCCTCCGTCAGCCATCAAGCTGCTGACCAGCAGGTCGATCATGAAGCGGCGGCCAGGACTCACACTCATCTCGTTCCCAGACACTAGCGTGGAGAATATTAATATAATTAGATATGAACAATAACCCATTTTTGTATATCCTTGGTCTGAACCATTTTAGTAATAATAATAATAATTATCTGTGCTTTGTGATAGGGCTGTGCGATTATGGCAAAAATCATAATCACGATTATTTTTGGTCAATAATTGATATCACGATTATTAAAAACGATTATCCATTTACTTTGAAAACATCCATATATTGAAAAAAAAAATGTGAACAGTATGTTTTTAACAGTTGATTACCCTGAACTTCAAGTATAATTAAACTGAAAAACCAATAAAAAAAATAAAAAAATTATAATAATAATAAAAAAAAAATTTATAAAAATAATAATCGTTTTATTTCGATTACATTGTTTTCGTAATCGAGATTAAAATACGATTAATTGCACAGCCCTACTTTGTGAAGACAAAATTCGAAAAATTTGTTTTGGAAGAAATGAAATGTTGTATCATGTTGAATGAAGTGTATTCATCACCACTTATGTCATATCTATGAGAAAAAAGACTGTGATTAAAGATTAAAAAAATACAAAAAGGTGTTTAAGTGACAATACGAAAGAGTTAATAGATCCCTTTGTCTCCATGTATGCTTTTCATCAGAGTGGGAAGAAAGGCTGTACGTTTTGAAAAAAAAACTAAATGTGATTATTTCAGACGTTTATATCTGCCCTCACCGGCGTTGGGCAGCAATGAGGACAGCTGTGATTAAAAAAAAACTACGCCTGGACAAACGTTTTTTAAGTGACAATACGAAAAGAGTTATCAGATCATTTTGTGTAGGGTGGGAAGAAGGGCTGCACATTTATTTTAGACGTTTATATTTGCGCTCACCGGCGTTGGGCAGCAGTGAGGACAGCGCTCTGGCTCTCTCCTCCGCAGTGGGCAGCAGCACCGACCAGCCGCTCTGCAGCACGGCCTGAGCAGCCGCCTGCACAGAGTTCAACACCCCCGCGTTGCTGGCTAACACCACCACCGTCTGCTTGAGGTTGTTGAGCAGAACGCTGCCGAGCCCGAGACCCAGCTCCTCCGGATCCACCTGGTTACTGATGGCTGCGTGCAGCTGAGGACAGAGATTTACAGGTTAATGTTCATGTATTACACGAATAAACATCCATAGTGCTTTTGAAACAATCATCTTAAGTTGTAAAGCAGTCAAAAATAATGTTCTCAAGTCAAGTATCATTGTTTTTCTGAGCAATGTTTATTACTATTAGCAGTCAACTATTCAAATGAGGCTATTAGTGGTGCAGCAATAAGTCCTGTTCCCTCGCCTAGATGGTCAATGGTTTTCTGAATGTGCTTTTGGTTGTTAGCCTGAAATAAGGTCTGTGGTTAACACAAGCTGAAGAGATTTTAACGTTTTGTTCTACGACATAAAATATGTCAGTAAATACCCCACTGGTGGATTTAAAAACTAAGTGTCTAAATGAGACGACTAAACGTCCTCGCACCAAACATTAGCTGCCTTTAGCTTAGCTACAGATCAGGGTTTCCGTTAGCCGGTAATTACCGGTTTTTAGCTGGTAACATTTATTAAAAACTGGTAAATTCAAAACCTGCCGGTCAAAATGTCCGGTAATAATTAGGGATGCTCCGATCGATTGCCACCGATCATTATCGGCCGATATTCACTCTTAATAGTTTGATCGGTGCTCTCTATAAAGGCCGATCAGGAGAGCTGGATCTGATCGATATGGACATAAACGCGAGTGAAGTATAACCGGACGCGAGAGAGAGATCAGATCAGCTGCTGAGTCTGACGGAGACACGCAGCTCTGCATGATCACCTGAAGCCCCGCCCACTGTTTAGCGAGCTGCATGAGAAACTGACGGGCTGTCAGGAGAGAGAAGGAGAGAGAGAGAGATGAGAGAGAGAGAGAGAGAGAGAGAGAGAGAGAGAGATGGAGAGAGAGAGAGAGAGAGAGAGAGAGAGACGGAGAGAGAGAGAGAGAGAGAGAGAGAGAGAGAGAGAGAGAAAAAGAGAGGATCCGTTTCTCCCGTGTTATTATTCAAAGTTAATGAATAATTAATGAATTAATGAGTTAATGAATCAGAACTTTTCGATCTGTTATGATTATAAACTGAAGCAATATAAAAATGACTCCCATTAACTGAGTTTTAAACATCAGCATATCCAGTCATAGTCCGGTAATTACCTGCTAACGGAAACTCTGCTACACAATTCATATTATTATTATTGAAACATGACCGGTAAGTTTCAAATTCGTCCGGTAAAATAAATTATTTCTGGACATTTGACCGTCAAGAAAAAATCCTAGCGGAAACCCTGCTACGGATGATTGTTGTGCCTACCTGCAGCCGGAGCAGGTTGAGCGTAGCGACCACCATGCACTCCTTCTCCTGTGGGGGGGGCCAGTCGGAGCTGCCGTCCATCCCCTCGCTCACCTGGCGCAGCAGCAGGTCCAGCTGCTCAAAGGTCATCGGGCAGACGTCCACCACGAAGGGAACACGCTGCCCAACGGACCACTCCGAGCACGAGGACCAGGCGAAGCTCTGAAACAGCAGAAGAAGACAGACAGGAAGTTAACACCAACGGGAACAGCAGGAGAAGACGGACAGGAAGTAAACACTAAAGGGAACAACAGAAGACAGACAGGAAGTAAACACTAAAGGGAACATCAGAAGACAGATAGGAAGTAAACACTTAAGGGAACAACAAGAGAAGACAGACAGGAAGTAAACACTAAAGGGAACAGCAAGAGAAGACGGACAGGAAGTAAACACTAAAGGGAACATCAGAAGACAGACAGGAAGTAAACACCAAAGGGAACAGCAGGAGAAGACAGACAGGAAGTAAACACTAAAGGGAACATCAGAAGACAGATAGGAAGTAAACACTTAAGGGAACAGCAAGAGAAGACAGACAGGAAGTAAACACTAAAGGGAACAGCAAGAGAAGACGGACAGGAAGTAAACACTAAAGGGAACATCAGAAGACAGACAGGAAGTAAACACCAAAGGGAACAGCAGGAGAAGACAGACAGGAAGTAAACACTAAAGGGAACAACAGAAGACAGACAGGAAGTAAACACCAAAGGGAACACAGTATGGGCTCTGGCAGTGTTTAAAGATTGGTTAATGGAAAATAAAATGTGAACATACTTGGACAGTTACAGAAAACCTCAATCAGTGCTGATGTCATTTTAAGTTATGTTGTTGTCGCCGCAGTTCCAGATTACTATTTTTTCTTAGCAGAAGCAATACGGTCATTTTTAAATCAATAAAATCCTTTTAATGTATTATGTAGCTGTGTAATAAGCGGGACAATGTGTGCTTATCGCTGCCCATTATCCCTTACATTAAAGTTATGAATGCCAGTTATGTCTCACCTGTCCTGGGCCGCAGGAGATTCCCACGATGTGTTTGGAGTTGAGTCCTGGGAGAGCCTTTGGTTGCTTCTTGTTGGAGAACAAAGTGTCGAAGTGTTGGAGTTTATCGTTGCTGCCCCAGCTGTGCACCTCTCCGTCCTCTGTGAGGGCGAGGCAGTGTGTGGAGCCCACCGCCACATCCACCACCTTCTTACCTATTGCAAAATAATAACACACAGGTAAGGTAAGGTATCATTGTGTTTTTATTCCCTCTGTCTCCAGGCAATTATATTATTAATTATATTATAGGCATGTATACAGAAAGCATTGTACACATTGGAGCTATCAAAAAGCTACCAATCATCACTAAGCTAGTAAATGCGGCTGCACATTTTTTAGCCATGGATGTGTACTTATTCGTCTTTATTTTATTACTAACGTGTGTTTTTTTGTAACATGTTAGCTACTTTTATTATGGCTTGCCTTTTAGCTGCCATGTCACTTTTGCTGTAACGCTGTAAAAGTAAATAAGTGAATTCTGATTACTTGTCAAAGAAGGTGCTCCAAGTTTAAGTTTATTTTACAACTGTGAACTGACCCTGCAGGCTGTCGAGGAACTTGGGGTATCGAACGTGCTCGTCGGTGCCGTGTCCGAGCCGCTGGTTGTCCCCCTTCCCCCAGGTGTACACCTGTCCGTCTTTGGTGAGGGCCACGGAGAACTGGCTGCCGCAGCACACCTTCACGATGTCCAGGTCCTGCAGCTTCTCCACCAGCTTGGGGGTCTTACAGCCGTCGCTGCCCCCCCGGCCCAGTTTACCGTAGTCCCCGTCCCCCCAGGACCAGACCTGACCTGTGGGAACACACAGAGGGCGAGTTAATAAGGTATTTATCTGTCTGTACACACAAACTGTACACACAAACTGTTCACACAAACTGTTCACACAAACTTTGACTTGTGTACACAGAGTGCCTTTTTCTGAGCAATTGATTGAAATAAGTACAGAGCACATGCCTTCCCATGCAGCTGCCTCGAGAAAAAGCGCTACTCCCAGTATCTATTTGAGTGCTCCTCTGTGCTGCCGTTCAGTTTGATTCAAGTTGAAAATATTTCAACTTTTCAGAAAAGCTACAGGTTTCTTTGAGCCGACCAACCCTGATTGACCCTGGCTGTTGCTGGAAGTATTTTGGTGTTCTTACCGTTTTCTGTCACAGCGAGTGTTTGTGCATCCCCGCTCCCACAGGCCACGTCCATCACCTTCAGCCCCTTCAGCGCCGTCACCAGCATCGGGGTGGTCTGGTCCTCACTGGAGCCTGAGACCACACAGAAGCAGGGGTTAGACGTTCACATTTCCAGTCCAAAAAATCTGTCATTTTAAATTAAATAAATAGATACATTGTACTTTTCACATTAAAGTCTGCCAAAATGTAAACTAAGTAAAAACAGATTTTAAAAGAAGTAAAAACTGATTTTAAAGGACTCCTACAATAGAAAAAAAATCATGTATTTAAAATGTTGTTAATAAACTAAGAATGTGTCATCATCCAGCGGTTTACTGCAGGGAGACCTCACCGTGGCCCAGCCGGCCGTAGTTCCCTCTGCCCCAGGTGTACAGCTCTCCATCAGCAGTGATCACAGCGCTGTAAGTGCTGCCACACGCTATGTGCACCACATGCTTCCCTGCCTGCTTCCCATTGAAGGCTGCAATCATGGTCGGCTCCTCTAGATACCTGAAAGAAAGAATACAGAGGTAATGTAGCGGACAAAAACAAGAAGCTTTTCAGGAAAATTCTAATAAAAAAAATGTAGGTCAAGCTTTGATTTATTTATTTTTTTGAGGAAAGTTAGTGTTCGACTTATTTAACCCAATTCCTTGTACTAAATTCTATAGAGAGGCGAAGTCCCTCCCTTTCCGGTGGACCTCCATGGGACCTTATTTCGGAAAAAGTATGTATTGAAGTCAATGGGGAGAGAAAGATTCTATACTTTAGTACAATTTTGCAGAATTCCCAGCAGTATGTTGAGTTAAGGTGACGTTTTATCTTGTGGACATATACCATGTCTAAATGAGACCAGAGTTTTACTTGTATGAGAGTATTTGAGTATTAGTACTTTTATCTGAGTGCTTCTTCTACCACTGCGAGTAGTTAGGTGGATCTTATAGAGATCAAACAGCCGCAGGGTTTCTTTAAGTAGCTTACGTTGTGTCTCCGTGTCCCAGGCGGCCTCCGTCCCCGCAGCCCCAGGAGAATACCTCCCCGTTGGAGGACAGGGCGAGGTAGTGCTGCCCGTCAGGATGAGCCGCCAGCTTCACAATCTTCCTGGAGATCAGACCGTGGATCAGCATCGGAGCCTGAAACCAACAAATTAAGAAACTCAAACTTCAGCCGAAATAGAGATAAAAGGATCTACTTCCAGGGCTGCACGATAAATACAAATGTTATTGAAATCGCAATGTCCAGTAGTGCAATTGAGGGGAGCAGGGAGGAAATTATCTTTTTGTAAGTCGACCCAGAAATTAGCATCACACCACAAAAATATTGTTCCATGTGATTAAGGATTATTACTGAAAATAATCTCTGTGTCAAACAAACGTTAACGATACTTACACGTTTTGTTCAGCAGGATAATCTCGACATATTAACACCACTTGATGAGTTCTGAAGTAAAAGGCTAATGTTAGCGATAAAGGAACTACAGCACGGTCACATGACTTCACGTCACCGTCGCTAAGCTAAAGGCGGCTAATGTAGGGCGTGATGACGTTTAGTCGTCTCATTTAGATAGTTGTTGGCAACCGCCGTTGGGGTATTTACTGACGTATTTGATGTCATAGAATAAAATGTTAAAATCTCTTTAGCTTGTGTTAACCACAGACCTTATTTCAGTAATAAAAGTATAGAATAAAGTATAAATAAAGTCCATTGACTTTAAGATGAGAGACTTTAACACAAGCTGAAATCTTCCCTGTTATATATATCATATAATGTTACAGTTGCTATCAGTAAAAAATTGTCGCAATACGCTATGTTTTCCAATTGGTGCAGCCCCATCAGCTACTACCACTGAGAATGCGTTAATAAACAGAATCCACCTGTGTGTCAGAACTGACCAGGGTTGTGCTCTTGTAGTTTTGGTTGTAAACGGCACCGCTGCTGGACAGGATGAGGAAGCCCTTCTCCGAACACACGATCTGAGCCACCCCGACGCTGGACAGGGCTTTGCACTGGATCGGCCCGTTAATGTTAGCGTGAAGCTTCCAGCCCAGAAGGCCCCAGGCGATCACCTCCTGCAGAGTTCCCTGCAACAAACAAGGGCAGAGAGGAGGACACATCTGTCACATGGGCTGAAACACATGAGCATAACAAATACTGCGTAGAAAATGAAGGTCAACCTTTGACAATTGATTAACTGTCGTGCAAAAATAAACAAAAAAATTGCCGTGAAGCATACACGTTTCTCGTTTGAAATTGCGCAGCTCTTCAACTTTAAATTCTCATATACTACATATTTAAAAATGTTCAGAATAACTTGTCAAGTTCTTGTTGTACTTACTTTTTGTATATTTATATTTCTAAGAAGATTTTATTTTAATTATGAAATGTGTTAATGTTTAATAGTTGTGGTGGCAGCGGGGTGTGGTTAGGGCGCCGGCTGCTGGAGGGATGGGAGTGGCTCGGCCGGAGACCAGACAGCTGAGCAGAATCAGGTAAGCTCTCAGTATAAATGCTGGTAACCTGGTTCTGCTCTCTCGCTTGCAGTGATCCACGGACCCCGAGCAGCCTCAGGACCTAGCGGGGCTAATTGTCAAAGCTTGTTTTTGTGAACCTCTCCCTCCCTGGCAATAAACCTGGTCCTTTTTCACAATCCACCTTCTCCTTCATTCATTTTTACCCCCAGTGTGAACCAGAATGTTCACAGTTGTTTATAATAGTTCCATATTAGAAAATAAGAAACCAAGACATTTAGGTTAGGGTAAAAAAAATGTTTTCATAGTAAAACCTGCCTTTCATGTAACTTTAAGGGAACACGTTTTCCTGATGATGTAATCCAGCTACATGTACTCTATGCCTGATAACTAACCATGCTGAGTTGGTAAGAGGAGTTCACCTTGTGTGATGTGGGGGAGTTGCAGTGGGGGGGGCAGCAGGGAGAAGCCAGGCGGTCCAGGTGAGCCATGATCACCACGGCCGTCTGCCGCAGGTCGATGGCCAGGTCGTTGTCCTGAGGCAGCGTCAGGTAGCGCAGGAAGCTCTCGTTAGGACTCATCTGCACTGTGAGGATCTGAGAATCACAGCAAACAATCACAAAGTTCAAGTTAGCTTGAATCTTAAACAGGAAGAGGACAACAGGCAGGTTATACTGTATGTTGTCAATTCAGGGATGAACATTTTGCTTCAAAGAATGTAGAAAAATTCAGTTATTTCAAAAAAGAAAATGTCTTATTTGTATTTATTCTTATTTTATTCTTGTTTTATTCAATCCTGTGTTGGTAAGTGTTCTTATTAATCACATTAGTATTGTTTTTTTTTTGTTGGTGTACTGTTTATGTTTTTGGTTTGTGAAGCATTTTGTGTTGCCTTTGTGTATAAATAAAGTTTATTTTTGATTCATTAGTATGAATGAAGTCTAATACTGCTGTTTTGACACACTGTGATTTCATTTAAGAGGGTTCTTCTCATATCCTATGTTTAAAGGTAGGGTAGGTAAGAATGGAGAAACCAGCTCGAGTGCGCTAGAATTTGAAAGTACGCAGCCGAAAAAAATCTGCCCCTTCCTTCAGACTTCCTTACAGAGCCCCTCCTCCAACACACACGAACGCGCACATGATCAATGAGGGCACGAGATAAGTTTGTGCACAGATGGAAGGCTGACAGGCAGGTAGGCCATCCAGTTATTTTAGCCGGGCCGGCTCAGATGATTGGTCGTGCTTTTTACAGCGCCACGGCTTCCACAGATGAAATATTTGTATATATTTATTGTCAAAGCATTGAATATAACAAAAAGTGTTTCTGAAGTGAATTACCTACCCCACCTTTAAGTGGCATTAAAATGAGTTTGTTCCATTTCTAACATCCCTTCGGTGTCTAACTGTACTGCTAATGAGACAGCTGTTTCAGAGAGGAGATATTACCTCAGCCTCCTCTTCAGCGACGGGCTCCTCCTTGCTGCTGTGGATGTTGTGAAGGCGCTGCAGGAGGGGCAGCAGGGGGGCGCTGGTTCCCTGGGTGGAGCGCTCGTTATCCATCTCTCTGGTGCCGCTTTCCCACAGGCGCAGCAGCAGCAGAACAGCAGACAGCAGCTGACTGCACACACACACACACACACACACACAGAGAGAGTGAGCACTTCAGCAGGGTGTCAGCAGAGGCATGTGAGCGGGTTTAAAGGTGTTCAAGGTGTTGAAGGTTACCTCAGGGTGCCCCTCTGCACAGCCAGCTCCAGCAGGATGGCCAGCGCCAGGTGCTGATCCTGCAGAGGAATGTTGCCTTTGGTGCTGGCACTCCCATGTACGTCACTACACATGAGAAACACAAAAGATTATCAAACACATCTTACAAAAGAGTCCTAAAATCCAAATACCATTCAGCATTTTAGGACTTTCTGTTCCCTCATCTGGAAGTCAATGGTTTTCTGAATGTGTTTTTGGTTGTTAGTCTGAAATAAGGTCTGTGGTTAACACAAGCTGAAGAGATTGAGGAGCAAATAACGAACCTGAGGAATTTGGTGGCCCTCTCGACGACTTCCAGCCACACGGATGATACGGTCCCCTCGTCGAACAGCGTGGCTTCAGGCAGCGCTCGCAGGGCGTCCAGAGACTCCTGCAGCAGCTCACTGCAGAGGTCTGCATCGTCCCCTGAAACACACCAAACACTCTTCTGTTTTATACGAGGCACAGTGGTCAGATTACCCCACAAAGAGGGGTGAAAACATCTGAAATGTACAATTTGTCAAACCCAGCATGAGCGCAAAAGGAGGGCACACAGTGGTTCAGTTTACAGTAAACTCACATGTTTGCATAACATTAAAAAGCATTTAATGCAATGGCTTTCCCGACTTGCAGCAATCTAAGAGCGTCAGCTAAATGCAATGTAATATAATCTAAAAGAGCACCATACATTCATATAACCATCGGAATAAAACGTCTATTTAATCTTATAAATCACTTTATGTAAATGTTCTAGTTAGAAAAAAGAGTGATAATCTTTTAAAAATAGAAATAGACATGTTAAGCTTAATTTGGATTTTAATTCAATAAAATCACATCCAGTACATCCCTATTGATGATATGGGTTAATCCATGCATGCATTTACAAACATTAATCTTAAAAGAACAGGTCACTAATGAGATCAAACGAGCCCTATCCTTATTGCACTTGAAGAAACTCTAAAATCTTAATGTCTAAGATTTGGGCGGTGGGTGAATTAAAAACTACACCGCTCTGACCTACTGTGTGCTAGGAATAGAGCGTGTGTGTGTGTGAGTGTGAGTGTGAGTGTGAGTGTGAGTGTGAGTGTGAGTGTGAGTGTGAGTGTGAGTGTGAGTGTGAGTGTGAGTGTGAGTGTGAGTGTGTGTGTGTGTGTGTGTTGCTCATGTTACAGGAAGGCTTCAGAGACAGAGAGCAGACAGGCTCTTTTGTTCCCACCCAGTCCCTGAGGACCGGCAGCTCTCTTCACATCAGACCACATTCTACATCTGCAGAGCTAACATGCTAACATGCTAACAGGAAGAACTTTTAAACACTGCTGCTTTTTTTGTTGCCTTCACTTATACTGGGGGATTCACTTTTTATTTTACAATCAAATTAAATATAGGAAATACAATTAAAATAAATATATATAAATATGTATGTAATAAATCATAAATAAATCATCTGAATTACAATTAAATAAATCTGACTTTAATCTAATTTTTCAGTTTTTTCAGAAAACAAATGGAAAAATCTGAAAAATCTAATAAAAATGTACATAAAAAAAATGAAAACATTTGTTTTTGTCTTAAATGATTACCTTTTTCAGAAAAAGAAATCAGAATTCTGTCTTTTATCTCAGGACTCAAAAAGAAAATGTTTGAATGCTTCAATGCAGTCGTCATTACGGTTCAAACTAATGCAATAAGATAATTCCCCATGTTGTTCAGCCCTCAACCCCAGCAGTCCTTCATCTATCTGATATCACGAGCTCAGGCTACAAACATAGCATTGAGAAACATGTTGGGTTGTTTACTATGAGCATCGTGTCACATGGTGCAAGATGTAAATCCACAGCTGTGTAGTGACGCCCCATCACTCTGACAGCAGCTATCAGCGGCTCTAACAGAGACAGCACTTCTTCACAGGCAGGAAACTCTTACCTGACCTCCAGGCGCGGCGCAGGAAAGCGAAGGCGAAGGAGAGAGCGGCTCTGGAGCCAACTCTGGCCAAACCTTCAACTCCTTTACTGGCAGGACGAGTGCTGAAAAACAGAGCAGAACACACAGAGATTAACATGAGAGGGTGAAGAAGAGGAAAACAAAGTGAGCGCTTGATACCAGGCTGTAGGCTTTAACTCAAACAAGCCTGCAAGTTATGTATACACAGTATAATGGCGCATTTCCACTGCAGGGCCTCGCACTGCTTAGTACGGTATAGTTAGGCCTTGGTAGGCCCGGCTCACTTTATGCTGCGTTTCCATTACAGTTTAGTAGCTGGGGCAGTAACTATAGTAACGCAGTGTAGGCGGAGCCGTGACGTCATCTTCAATGCGAACCACAAAACCAAACATCAGCCGTTAGCTGTTAGCACTCAGAGCTCACAGCTCATATCTGTTCAGAAACTAGACAAAAGTTAAACAACCACAGACATATTCAGCCCTGTTTTGGCCCGGAAAGAACCACGATTTTGGAGAGCCAGAAAAACTGTGAAAAGGTAGCCCTGAGCCGGAACTAGCCCTAGTGGAAACGCAACAAAAAAACGGGCCGGGTTTGGCACGGCACGCTTAAACCGTGCTACGCGCTGCAGTGGAAATGCTTACCATTACAAACTGTTGTTTTTACTGGACTGGTTTAATCTACAGCTTTCCAAGAGAGCTTCTGGGGCTGTACTGAATAGTTTGAAGCTTGAAGAGCACAATTGTTTAAAATAAACTTGCAAAATGCCAACTAATTATAACATTTCTTGATGGCCAAACACATACAAAACAACCAGCAGTGAACCAGCTTTAATATACACGTTTAGATATATTGTAAAGCTATACAAAATGTGTGTCAAATACATTCAGAGCTTTATCGAAAAAACCTCAATAGATGCTTTAAAATGGATATACATTTTAAATAAAAATAAGTACAGCCCTCACAACTATATACTGTAGAGCAGGGGTGTCAAACTCAAATACACAGTGGGCCAAAATAAAAAAATAGGTACTAGTCGAGGGCCGGACTGGTTCAATGTTTATTGCAGGACTTGTTGAAATGAACTTATTGCACATATTAAACCTGGAACTAACAAAGCTTAAATTATTGCCTATAAAAACAACATTAAATAATCAGTTGCATTCATTTCTTATGGCTCTATCTGCAGCTTTTCCGGAGTCATTTCTTATGATTACATTTTTCCACAGGCCAACAACAGCTTCAACAAAACTATTTCCCTCAAAGAAAACCCAAACACGCCCTGTTGTCGTGAGAAAAAAAGTGCAGAAGGAAACATCCATTAAACTCAGTGTGCTGCTCTGTGATGCTAGTTCAAGCCAGATACTTGGCATCTCATCTTGGGTGCAAGTTCATCAATGTTTGGGGTCAGGCTCTGAGCTGAGGAGACCCTCAGGATTGAGTGAAGGTGTGCGTGCAATATACCGGCGGGTCAGATCTAATAGTAATTAAACATTATCCTGCGGGCCGAAATTAAATCCACCAAGGGCCTGATTTGGCCCCCGGGCCTTGAGTTTGACACATGTGCTGTAGAGGCACAAGCACACTCACTCACCAGTCTAGGGCTGCACAGTTAATAAAAACTTAATGAGGTACCTTTTTAAAGATTAGTCTGTGTTGTTTTAAAACGTGTGTCACAATGGAGGCCTTGTCTTTTAACTGCAAACCAAATCTACCTTAAGGTCCAAATGAAAACCTGAGCGTGGTTTCTTCCACATTACACAACGCTCTGTCCTCATGCACACTCACAGTCCTTCCTCTGGCTCATCTAACTCCGCACAATTACCATTACCTTTTATTGTCGGCGGCGGCCAGGGGGGGGCTGGGCGGCCCCTTCCAGCGGACCTTGTACTTCTCCTCCATCATGCTGTGGCTCAGAGAGATGAGGTATCGCTCCAGGATGACGAGTCGCTGCCGGAGCCGCTGAGCAGACAGAGTGCTCTTAGCCATCTGAGCCGAGAGCTTCTGCTGATCGTCCACCAGCACCAGCAGACAGTCCTTCAGCTCCGTCTCACCTGCAACCAGGGAGAACACACACACACACACACACACACACACACACACACACACACACACACACACACACACACACACACACACACACACACACACACACACACACGACACACACACACACACACACACACACACACACACACACACACACACACACACACACACACCACAACACACACACACACACACAACACACACACACACACACACACACACACACACACACACACACACACACACACACACACACACACACACACACACACACACACACACACACACACACACACACACACACACACACACACACAGTTTACAGAAAGGATCTCATGACCTTTAGAGCTTATTAAGGCAACTTGTACTCTGTTTCTAAATAAGTAAATAAAAAATCCCCCCCCATTCAATATTTTCTGCACTCTCACAATCAGCCCCTTTGTTGTGATGTTGTTCAAGAGAAGACATGCTTCGTCACGATTTCATACAGCAGTGCTGCAGGGAAGATGAGACGAGTTAAAATAGCCGCTCTGAATCCACTTAAGCTTCATGAAGACCGGCCGGAGGTCAGCTGTGCTCCTCTGTCAGGACAGATATGTACCGCAGGACTTATTATAAATTACCCATGGTAAAATTAGCTTGCCCTGGATAATGCCAAATGTGAAGGGGTTAATTAACTCTTTCAAAAAGATCCACCAATGAAGAGAGAAGTCAACACATTGGACTGGACGGAAAAAAAGCTTAATTCACAACAACCGAATGTCCCGTAAAAGTCCAGTATTTTGCAAAGTTAAAAGGTTGGAGCTACTAATTGATTAGATTATTTAAACATGTATTTTTCTTGCGGTTTTTGTTTATTGTAAATTAATCATTATCAAGTAATTCTTTTTATTTAATAAAGAAGATGTTATGGTTTTATTTTGAAGGCAGCTTAAAGCACCAGGTGAGGTGATGGTATTTCTTATAAAACAACATGTGGGCTTGAACTTCTTATATCATAATATTCCAGATATTTGAACAAAGATATGGAAAAGAAGACGTTTACAGTTCTAACTATAGCAACCGTTCAGAGATCAAGTTACACTGAACATCAGACCAGAATGACTTCCTGCTTCACTCGATCAAAAAACACCCCATTGGTGACTAGCCTCTGTGTACTAGCACAGCCTGTATCCACTGAGCATGTACCTCCCCCTCTGTACCCCCAGCCTCAGCTTATCTCCCCCCAGCATGACACTGTCCCACCCCGACAACAAGTCAACACCTCGGGGAGAGACTATGATATATGTGTTGGGTTTGGATATTTGAAAAGGCGTTTATGTTGAAATATTGTAAAATGTAAATTATTAAAACATTCTGAAACTTGTTAAATAAGGTTTTTGTATAGATTTGGTTACAAATGCCAGGTTGTACAGTACACGTGATTTCCCGCTTTTTGCACGACACATGTTGCAGGGACTACTAGAATATTCAGTGTATTGCAAAAAAGGTATTATTTAAAGGCCATGTTACGCTGGATGCTACCCTTCTGCTGACCGCATTGTAACGCCTCCCCAGATTACACTGCGAGGTAAAAAAGACCCCCTCAGGCCTGCAGACAGAGTGATCGTTTCACAGTTTCCACATCTCACGTGCCAGCCAGCAGGACATGCACTCATCAGCAGTGAAACTGATAAACACAGAGCGGTGTGTTGAAACGGTCAGTATCTAGTCCTCATCTACGTGTTGTGAAAGCTCCCAGCGTGGTATTCATTACCCCAGTTGGAAACAGAAAGGCGTAAAACAGCCAGAGTCGTAGTAGCAGGAGGACATAGTGTGATGTTTCTATTTCTATTTGTATTGGTGGCCTTCCTACTTGGCTGCCGGCCCCAGTCCCAGGTCTCGATGATGGAGTGATGCACGGAGGTAGACGTCTCCTCCTCCTCTTTCTTCTCTTTGTCGTTGGGTTCATCTTTTTTCTGAGTTCCAAAGCAGTCCAGTCCTGTGCAATCCTCTGAAACGATCAAGAACAAATATCTGACATTAAAGGTAGGGTAGGTAAGAAATGGAGGAACCAGCTCGAGTGTGCTAGAATTTGAAAATACACAACCGTTAAAAATCTGCCACTTCCTTACAGAGCCCCTCCTCCAACACACACGAACGCGCACATGACCAATGAGGGCACGAGATAAGTTTGTGCACGAGATGGAAAGCTGACAGGCAGGTAGGCCATCCAGTTATTTTAGCCGGGCCGGCTCAGATGATTGGTCGTGCTTTTTACAGCGCCACGGCTTCCACAGATGACATTTTTTTATGTATTTATTGTCAAAGCATTTCATGTATTCATTGCTATCGGGATGTTAAGAGCATTCCATGGAATATAACAAAAAGTGTTTCTGAAGTGAATTACCTACCCCACCTTTAACTTCAAGGCTATTGAGGATTTTGAATCAAACCATCGTTCAATGGTCACACGAATGTACACAACAACGCACACACAATGAAATAAAGACGACTTATTATGCTGATTATGGGGGGGGGTAGCGTGGGAGATTTTAGCCTTTGCAGACCATTTACATGCACACAAACCTATATAACACACTACAGGAAAGGGACAACCCCCAAACGCACAACAGGGCCTCTTCAACAGCCAAATGTACTTTAAGTTAATAATAATAATTCATTAATTTTATATAGACGCCTTTCAAGGCTCTCAAGGTTGCCGTACAAACACACAAAAAACATGATACATAACACCAGCATAAGAAACATAAACAAGACAATGCAGTATATAAAACATTTAAAAAATAAAACGGAGGATGTGTGATGGATAATGGTCAGGGTGGATATGCGAGTGTGAAGCGATATGTTTTTGAGACGTGATTTGAAAACGGGGAGAGAGTCAGTGTCGCGGATGTCAGGTGGGAGGGAGTTCCAGAGGCGGGGTGCAGAGCGGCTGAAGGCTCTAGACCCCATGGTGGTTAAACGGAAGGGGGGTGCAGTGAGGTGGAGGGAAGCAGAAGACCTGAGAGTGCGGATGGGTGTGTTGATGTGCAGGAGGTGGGAGAGCTACAAGGGAGGGGTTAACTTAGTTGTTGGGGAGAAGGGCCTCTTTCTGAGAGGATTATAACTGATCTAACTATATAACTGTTGTATAGAACGGTGTTGATGTCATGTCAAAGTACTGTTTTGAAGAGATATCTACTAAAAAAGGATCCAAAGGTGCGACTTGTTTTCCCGCTTCTGATGCTTTGGTTTCAGACAAGTAATAAAAACGGTTACACAATCTATATATACAAGTGTACACAACACTCCAGTCTAGGGTCAGCGGCTCAATAACACTAACTTTAGCTTAGGCCACAACCCCCCCCCCTTAAAGTTTATAAAATAGCAATGTTAATTTTATTTTGACCAGTTCTACGTATTCTTCCTTTGCTGTAAATGAGTAGATGACAGTATGAACCCTGAAGCTGAGGGGAAATGCTGCCCGCTAATTCTAAGGATCAGGTGACTTGGATTTACCCGTTGAACCTTTAAAATGCCAACGCTGTCAGCAGCTTATGTATCATCCCTAGACAGTGTGTACAAATGTACCGTGCCGTCACAAACAGCAGCCATGTGTGGATTGGTAAACAACATGGAGGGTGAATGTTGAAACCTCCGTGAGACATACCTGTGTGAGCGGACTCTTCTCCGCTGAACGTTATCTCCTCGTCTTTCACCATTTCATTCCACATCTCACTCAGACCCTCCGGAGAGAACGCCCGCTGACAAAGACAGAGAGAGACACCGAAAATCAGCAACGCAGCACATGTATTATCAGGGTATATGCAGGAATCCTGAAGTCAAATGTAAGACCTTTTAAGACCTTTTTTAAGACCCTTTCCATACATTTGAAGACCTCATCGCCACTTGGAGTTTTAACCGGTTACATTGGCGACACACTTTACCTCACATTGACTATATACAGTATTGATTGTCCTTCCTCCTTATCTTCCAACCATTTGGACGCGAACTTGCATTTCCCCATAACGATGTTGTTTAACAACCGGCGTAAACGGTCCTTTGCGCGCTATCAAGCAGTGAGCGTGCGATGTCCTGTTCAGATGACGTCAAATCCAACGGGATGCCATAAATAAACTACACAGAACCACACTACACACCTACGCAATGATTACATTCAGGCAAACTGTAGAATACAACTTCTGTGGACAATTTATATACTTATTGAAAACAAGCTACAACATTTAATACCTTGGAAAATGCCGTTGAATACTTTTTAATAGCCTTAATTTTCGCTAAATTGATTTATCAACTTTTAATACTTTTTAAGACCCCGCGGACACCCTGATTAATAAAAAATAAAAGATGTTCAGTATGTGCTCACACATGTGTCATTAGTTAAGAAAAAGTAGGAAAACCTCTGTGTAATAAAACTATATTATAAGTAAAAATAAAAATAAATTAATAATCATTTTAAATTGTATTACTAGGGCGCTTTTTAAGGTAATCAAGGACACTTTACATGGAAAGGTTCAAATGTATTTTTTTGTGTAAGACACAACATGAATGACACATAAAGACACGTAAAAAAAAGCTGGATGATATAATATTCTGTAATGATATAATACTGGCAATATGTATGCTGAAAACATTTACGTTTGATACTTGAATTACATTTTGCTCATAATAATTCTGCACTTCTACTTAAGTAACATTTCCAAGACTTTTACTTGAGTATTTTAGGACCATATTATCTGTACTTATACTGAAGTAAATAATCCGAATACTTCTTCCACCACTGCTGCTGCTATGTTTGCTGTACTGAATTTTTGTTTTCTAAATACTCCTGAGAATAATGGTGTTATAATCTAGTTTTATATAGTTACATTTGTGAGTTGAACATGGAGAGATTGGTGCAGTCTCAGATGTGTACATGCACAATTTCACTTGAGTACGAAAGTACATATCTACTATAAATCTAGAAGTAACAACAGCTGTCAGATACCTGTAGTGCAGTCAAAAGTACAATATTTCCCACTGAAATATAGTGGAGTTATAGTATAAAGTAGCACTGAAGTACTATACTTTTCATCACGGTTTCTTAGTAAACTCTACATACAGTATACACACAGGTTATTATCAAAGCAGCACAATATAAAATCACACCCAAAATTGTTTTTTGTGTCAAATTGTACCACAAAATAACCATTTCTACACGACTAATTTCCCTGTATGTCTTTCCAATTTGGATCCAACAATGTCTTCCACCCATGAAAGGAAATGTGTCGTGCAGCAGTCTCCATAACCAAGGACAGAAGCCTTACACCCACAAACTAATATCAAATATAAATGAAGGCAGAGAGTTCTTAATAGCTGCTTTCCCTCCGGCCTCCCAACTTACTCAAAGATACAGCTGCTGTTGTGTAAAACTGGGTGTCATGATCCTGAGAAACACTCACGAGTCCAAAGCCAACTCCTGCTTTCAAGGATCCAATATCTTAAAATGTCCACATGTTCGCTCACAGAGGGCACCAGACCAGAGACATAAAACTGAAGCTGTCTTCTGCACTGTGAGAAAAACATGACACCCTCACCCAATTTAAAACTGATTTCAGTCCAGACAAGCTCGGTTTGAAATCTGTCCGCACTCGTTTTGTAGAAAGAGACAGTGGTGTTTACTGAGATTAATAAAAAGAGCTCATAATTACAACCAACATTAGTGTTTTCCACAACATACAGTAGATCCGTTTGAATACCTATTCCTCTAACTGTCTATAATATTACAGGATACACGTCTCACAGGAAAACAATCATCATCTGTGCAGGAGGCTTGATGCAGCTTGCAGGTCTCCAGTGTGATATGCATTCACGTTCTGGTGTCACAGAACAATGTGTTGAAAAAATGAAACATTGACTATCAGTGACATTAAGGCTGATAGAGATTCATCATTACACTTTGTCACAAACACAATGCAGCGCAGACTGACTGACAGCCATTCACAGGGAGCTTCTTCCAAAAATAAACTGACCAACACAGTCGTTTTAGAAAGCAGAAAAAGATGAAACGTGCAATCTCTCAACTGAAGCAAAGATGACAAATAATATGCAGATTTCCTGAAACTTCAAAATATCATGCTGTCCTCTGCATCTAAAAAAAAAAGCAGTTCTTTTCATGTGATTCCTCCTTAATGTTCACATACCTGCAGGTCTATCTTCAGCCATTTGTCATGGAATCTCAGCTGAGCATCGAGGGTGAAAGATGGAGAAGGCATCTTGCCCTCTCCTCTCCTGGCTGCCAGCGCAGCCAACCTGCAGGACGAAGAGAAGAGAGGCTTGTTGGAAACTGAGACACAACGTTACAGTGAGAGGAGAATCAGATGATATACACTGACATTATTTAGGGAATGAATGCCTTGATAATAAAGTGAGGTTGGGTAAAATTAGCATGTTCCTACCCTGGCATATTTATAGCTTCCTTTGAAATGAATAAAACCTATTTGTGCCTGAAACAGCAGTGTTCTGAGAAGGGAGTTTTTCTTATCATACTAAATGTAGTCTTTGTGCTGAGGCCTGTACTACGAAGCTGGATTTTCGCTTAGTGAGCTAACTTCAGGGAAAACTCTGGCTTTCCGGTCCTACGACGCTGGTTCTCTTTTTAGCGGGCTAGATCTCCATGGTAACTTATGCTGAGCGGCTAACCTGGGGGGTATACTACGAATCAAGATTTTCGTTTAGCAAGCTAACTTCAGGGGTTTCCGGTCCTACGAAGCTGGTTCACTTTTTAGCAGGCTAGATAACTTATTCTGAACGGCTAGCCTCCAGAGCAGGATAGGTTCCAGGATAAAAGCACTGCCTGCTGACCAATCAGAGCTCAGTGTGCGGAGTTTAAAGCGATCAATTCATATGACAGGAGGAGAAAGGAAATACAGTTTAAACTGCCATTGCAGGAAAGACGGCCGGCCAAAATCACCGACTGTGTGAACGTGAAAATTAATAGAATATCCCCTCCCAACTTCAGAGCAATCTGACTATTATAACATTAGCGTTAAGAAAGCTTACTTAAATATCTGCCACAACATAAGTAACCGGATCAAAGTAACATTAACTACAGTCCGCGGCACTGTGAGTGCAGACGTTGATGTGTCCCATTATCATTCATATCATATCACATCATAATGTATCATATATTTCCTTATCCGAGTCAGCTTCTTGAGCCGTATCTGGCCGTGCAACACTCACAGTGTCACATACTGTATGCAGAAGTATTATTTTAAGCAACACATTAAGTTGACGAAACACTTGTCAAATGTAATTAAAGTCAGATCCACTCGTGTCTTGGACGGGGCAGTGATATCATAAAACTGTTAATGAACGTATTCAAACACTTTTTCTTTTACCAGCAGTATTCACCTTGCAGGTGCAGCTATGTGGCTTTTATCCTGGATAAAGTGTTTAAGTCATGGATGTTTAAAGTTTAACGTCTTCATATTTGTCTAATATTAGTTGACTTTTCATTCAGGAAATATATGACGCGCTGCGCTGTCAGTACACGGCTTGTCCGTGTTTGTGATTGGTCGAACACTCCAAATACCACCCCTTTTATGTGAACGCGCACCTAACTAGATAGGACACGGCTGGCTTGAGCGATCGAGTTGATAGCCAGCGTCGTAGGACCATTTAGCGAGAGCGGGTTTTTTTTGGATTTAGTCAACCGGATAACTCAAAACATATCCAGGATATGTTGAACTAGATTCGTAGTATACCCCCCTGGTCCGGAGCAGGTTAGGTTGCAGGCTAAGAGATCAACTCAGTGAAAGCACCGCCTTAAAGCGATCAAGTCATATTACAGGAGAAAGGAAATACAGAAAAACTGCCGTTGCAGGAAAGACGGGCGGCAAAAATCACCGACTGTGTGAACGTGAACATTAATAGAATATCCCCTCCCATCTTCAGAGCAATCTGACTATTATAACATTAGGAAAGCTTACTTAAATATCTGCCACAACATAAGTAACCGGATCAAAGTAACATTACGTACAGACCGCGGCACTGTGAGTGCAGACTTCGATGTGTCCCATTATCATTCATATCACATCATAATGCATCATATATTTCCTTATCTGAGTCAGCTGAGCCGTATCTGGCCGTGCAACACTCACAGTGTCACATACTGTATGCAGAAGTATTATTTTAATCAACACATTAAGTTGACAAAACACTCGAGTCAAATGTAATTAAAGTCAGATCCACTCGTGTCTTGGACGGGGCAGTGATTTCATAAACCTGTTAATGTACGCATTCAAACACTTTATCTTTTACCAGCTGTATTCACCTTGCAGGTGCAGCTATGTGGCTTTTATCCTGGATAAAGTGTTTAAGTCATGGATGTTTAAAGTTTAACGTCTTCATATTTGTCTAATATTATAGTTGACTTTTCATTCAGGAAGTATGACGCTGCGCTGTCAGTACGCTTGTCCATGTTTGTGATTGGTCGAATGCTCCAAATACCACCCCTTTCATGTGAACGCGCACCTAACTAGATAGGACACGGCTGGCTTGAGCGATCCACTTGATAACCAGCGTCGTAGGACCGCTTAGCGAGAGCGCGTATGTTTTGGATTAGGCCAACCGGCTAACTCAAACATATCCAGGTTAGGTTGAACCGGCTTCGTAGTACAGGCCTCTGGTTAGTTATAAAATGTTTTCTTTCTTAATGGGCCTATTTCATTATGTTGTTTATGTTGCTGCTGTTTACCTTAGTCCTGATGCACAATTCATAAAATGCACTACTGTGTTGTTCTGTTTTGTCTGTATTGTTCTTTTTGTTCAGTGGAAGATATATATCAGAAGACTGTCTGTCAAATATACATTATGAAGGGCCAATTATTTTTGAGATAAGATTTTCTTGTGTAGCATTAATGGAGTAAGCTTCAACAGCATTTCTCTGTTTAACCCTGTGCTGCAGAATGACAGTAAGTGATCCTTGAAACAATGAAATAAGAACATATCTCAGAAAGTACAGGGGGCACAATTAAGTATTATATATATGAAAGAATAATAATATCAAAGACATGTACGCTTGTGCATGCAGTTCAACAAGACATGATATAAACACAATGTTAGCATTTTCCTCATTTACAAACATTATGACTTGGACTATTTTTGAAATTGCGATTTTCTATGTGATGTTAAAAGTTGTACTGTTAGATATTTTCACAAAGTATGTCAGTACCAGATTGTAGGACTTAAAACCAATCCAAACTGTATTTAATTGCTCCTTATCCTGCTTAATCTAATCTACTTAGTCTTTGGGCACACATTTGTTAGCAACACCTATCGCTTTTAAGATTAAAACTGACACAAAGATTACCTCAAACAAATGAGTTTAAAACAGCCTGTGAAAATTCAGCATGACCCATAATATTAACCCACATGTAAACAGATAGAAAAACACATGGCTGAATCACTCCCATTTAAATGCCAAGTCTAAAATAAACAATCTTACTTTTAATACAGAAACTACATCTGAATATTGCTGAGTTGTATATGAATGTATCTGTTGAACACAAAACGATCTAACGGTATACTCATCAGGATCAACCTCTTCAACTCTCCTTGTGATTCTTCTTCAATAGTGACGTCAATAAAGAATCACACATTGGCTTCATTTACATACTTCACTCTTATAGTTAAAGGCCAGATATGTTTTTGTTCGTAAATGTTTATTTAGTCTATATATGTGGCTTAGGTTTTCTTTAGCTACATGGTTATACATTTCATATCATTTGGGATGTTTGTTAAACTGTACTTGTGTGTGTATTTATTTGACCTACATTTTGACCTATTTATTTCCCATATTATTGGTAGCCTACAGAGTCAGATATAATCTGCCGTCTACTGTCTGTTAGTATTGATTCTGTGAATATAACATGGTGTTAATATAGGATATCAGACACTGGTCCTGCAGGTAATAACACACACTGACACAGCATGTGTGTGCAATATACACTCATGTGTAATATACCCTTTATTTTCTCTCAATACTTTTTACCATGGTGTACTTATCCGCTAATATATACTTATTGTGTTTTTTTTTATTATAAATAGCTTGTACATACTTAATACATTTTGATATGCAAGTATTTTCTCTTCACTTTATCTACACTATACTTCTGCTGTTGTAATAATGTAGATTTCCCAAATAAAGGAATTTTGAATGAACAAGCTCATAATATCACATAATGCTAGTTGTATGTATCCAATGTATACAAAAACGAGACCATCATAGCTTAAATGCTAGCAAGGGCACAGTCTCTGTTAACCTTGATACTGTGAATGCAATATGGTGTTAATATAGGATAACAGACGCCAGTCCTACAGGTAATAACACACACTGACACAGCATTTACTCATAATAACGCAACACATAATGCTAGTTCACATTAGCTTATAGCTCAAGGCTAACCAGTTAGCTTGCAGCTAATACCGTTAAAACATCATCCAGGCTAAAGTGATGACGCTTCTAATATGACACTGAACCAAATGAGATCAACTCTAGCAACAAAATGGGCAACATGTCAATATAAACAACACATTTGTAGATTACCTGCAGTGTCTTCTCAAGCTATTCTCGTCCCTTCAGCTGCTTTGCTGCATTAACAAGACGTTCATAATGGACATGATTGACAGGTCGCAGACTGGGGCACGAGGCATGGAAACAAATGACGTATAAGGTAAACGGGGAGCTATAGTGCAATGGATTTACTCACCGCAACAGCCCGTTGGGAGGCGGGGTTTGAATCCGTCGGGCACTGAGTGTACTCCGCCCTCTCGTACCGGTATTGGTTATAAATCGAGCGCTTTTTGTTATTGGAGGCGGGACTTAGGAGGGGCGGGGTTGGCTTGAAGAGTGATGGAAAATGTCCGCTAGGTGACGCTGTGTCTCAAGGAATTTACTGTTTATTTCACATCAGTCTTAGCAACAAAGTCACACGTTTTAATATATTTTTAGATATTTATTTGAGCAACAGAGTAACATATAGCATATCGTTTTACATATCATTTTAGATGTGTATTTAGTGTTTATATTTCAATGATGTTTTCCTTAGCTACAGGGTTTCATATTTCATAGATTTCAATTTGTTTATAGAGTATTTATTTCCCATTTGTTTCAGTATGCTACAGAGTTGTATATTATCTTAAACGTTAAGATGTTTATTTAATTATAGTGTATTTATTTTTGCACATGTTTATTTAGCTAATGGGCACAGCC